GAAACATGTGAACAATCTTTTTTGGACCCTTCACCACATCAAAACATTAACATATTTGAAAAATGAAATCCCAGAGAAGATCAGTGCATCAAGAAAAATGCTTAAAGTTCTGTGTGTCATCAACATGCCACCGACACTCTCTTACAATATCTCAACAAATCAACTCGTGATAAGAGATGAAACATTATATGATCATGCAAGCTCTCATATTTCTGTAATTTTTGCATAATAAGCAACTACTATAATTCAGATAATATATATTACACTATAAATTTGTTGATTTTGTATTCTTAATCCGTCCATGATCATGTTGGTTGAATAAGTCAAATAATTAGATACTTATTAGGCATGCATACGAAGTTAACCTCACTTTGATGCAGAATCCAACTGTGAAGGAAGTAATGACAGTATGACAGGCCAGACAGTTTTCGAGAGATGAAATCATGAGGTAGTGACCACTAATGCACTTTCCAACTACTAAGATTATGCAGTAAAGAATGGTTATTAAGTAACTTGAAAGAGTGAACCCTTCATCATGTTGCCTATTCACCAACATAGAGCCCACAAGAGGTCCCTTCTTGGCACTCAATTTTTCTTTCATAATTGATTGATATCGTAAACACGCTGGTTGGGAACATGATTATGGTGAAAGGAAAGATGAATTGCCTAGTTGGACCAGGTTAACCGTTAAGACAGTACTCTGTCTGGTACGGTTGTATATACCTCACAAAACCGCATTATTCAAAACTGGTCTCAAAGTCAAGCATTTGAAATCATTGTGCACATTGTGCTAGACCTTCATTTAGGAAGGAAAGAATAAATAAAACTAAGAAAGATGAAAGAAACTGAGTGAAAAATGGTTTAGAGAAAAAAAAAAAACATATTCTTATTTTTTACTCTTCACCCTGTTTCTCTTTTTAACAAAAAAGGTAAAATAATAACTATTTGCTCTTATTATAACTCACTGTCCTCTGTTTTATATATTTAATTTGTAACACATATGAGTACAACAAAATAATATAAGTTGACCACTTCATATGTTTAATATTTTTTATTTATTTATAATATATTTCTATTTATCAAAGTATAATAATAAAATTTAGTTATAAAACTACATCATTTACATATAAATATGAAGAAAAAATTAAAATTATAAATACAAATAATAATTAACAAAAATTCACAACATTTTTTATTTGAGAAATTTTATTATAAATTTTTTAAAACATATCTTACAACTGTTTTGATGAAATATTTTAAAAATTTATAATTACAAAAAACTATAAAAATTAATCGAAACTTAAACATAAAATATGAATTTAATTTGATTAAAAATATATATTAAATTAAATTGACGTATATTTAATGTTTACATATAACGCAGATGGTTATTTAATATAACTATTAAATCGAATCAAATGAAAGCAAACCCAAAAATGTGAAATCAGATTTTGAGAGTATTTATTGTACACATCCACAGGTAACCTTAAGACATATCCACTCCTGTACTTTTGATGTCATCAAAACAAGCTACCCTTACTCAACTTCATCACTACCTTAACTGTTAAGGTATTGATGTCCAAAGTCCTATGTAGAGGCACCCCTTACATACTTTGAAGATTCATCAACATATATAAAAAAGGTAGAAGTCCTAAATGAGCACAATTGTTGAACTCTTGTTGGCAAAGACACTACCTTACCTTCCTTCAAATACCATTAGAAACAGAAAAAGTAGTTATTAAGATAAAAACACATAACATTTTCTTCTTTATTGTTGTGTTTCTGTTACTCTTTCTCTAGTAGATGAAGTAACGGTTGGTTCTCGCACTGTTCATCAATGTCTTTCCTAAGAATGACAATTTTTTGTACCTGCACTAAGGAAAGAGGAATGAAAGTTCAAAATAAGAGGTGTAGTTGAAGCTCAATAATTCAAGTTTATCTTTGAAGAATAAAAAAGAAGTGAATTGACTATTTGGGTTCAATAAGAAAACAAATTATAAAATTAAATTCAAATGAAAAAAAAATTGTGATATATAAATATGGCAAAATAATACAGGATAAAGAGAATATACAAATATGTCCAAATAACTTTTCTTAATTTGGTTGCATAATGTAGAGTTTATGTCTATTTTCAAATCAACAACTTGGGTTTTTCTTATTTGCTTCATTTATATATATATATTGCTTATCTTGAACAAAAAGAAAGTGAATGACAATTTCTTTCTCTTAGTTATATCATAAATGTCTCACTTTATCTTCAACTAAAATAGAACAATTTTGGTTTAAAAATAAAGTTTTAATTTTCTCCTTTTGAAAAAAAAAATTATCTTATTATCTACAAGAAGATTCAATTCTTAATTAGTTTTACTTATAACAACTAAATTATAAGACTAAATATTGATAATAACTAACAAAAACTATTTTAAAAAAAATATTAACATATTATAAAATATTTAACAAGATATGATGAATAATTTTAAGGTGCCTATAACAACATATGAAGGATAAATTTTAAGTTGATTATAAATATTATAAATAATAAATATTCAATATATATAAAACACATCTAAGAAAACCTGAGTAACTAATAAAAATTTATAAGATGAGATAGTTATGTTTAAAGAACTTTCACAGACCTTTTCATTGCATCATTTTAGAAATGTGCTGTACTGAAAAAACTTTATATTACTAATGTTTATTACTTTTCAAGTTGAAATTAATATATATATATATATATATATATATATAATAAAGTTAATAGTTTATATATTATAAATATTATAGTTATATTACATAAGAGAAGAAAATATATAAAATTATAAGAATTAAAAAAGTAAAATAAAAAAATTATAAGAATTAAAAAATGTGAAATAAAAAATAAACATAAGTTAAACAAATAGAGAGTTTTACATAATTATTTATTTAAAAATATTATAAATATAATTTTTAAATAATTATTATAAACTCAATAATTTATATGATAAATAAAGTATATCAGTTTTTTTTTAACTTTTTAACCTAATAGGATTTATTGATTAGGGATATTTCTAAAAAGCATGTATTAAACGAAGACTTAAAAAAAAAAATCCAACAATATAGATTCAGCTATACATCTATCCACTTTTCATATTAAGTTTTATATAATCCTTGCCGATTTTTAAAACCCATAAAAAAGAATATACATGCGATAAAAAAAATTCAAACATCGATTTTTTTAATATATATTTTTTTAATCGCAAAATTTAATTTGGATTTTGGATTAAAAGATAAAAATAAAAAAATCACTTATTTATTTAAATATAATTATATATATATATATATAATTATTAATTAATAAGTATGTATGATTATATATTTAAAAATTATTTTATAATTTTCTTATATTTTATTTATAATTATTAAATATATTATAATAATTTTATACTATATTTTAATTATAAGATTAAGTAATTTATTAGTAACTATAAACAAATTATGAATATAATAATAGTTATATGATAAAAAATAAATAATATGTTTATTTATTTAAGGTTTTTATTATAAGATATTTAAATTTCATAAAAATAAGATAACAAAACAAATTTAAATGAATATTAATTTAGTTTATTTAAATTTTATATTAAATTAAAATTGATTATAAAATAAAAATAAAAAATATTTTAATAAAAAATTGACGATAAAATTTTAAAGTGTTAAAATTACTTATATAAATAATTACCATATTTAAGTAAATTTGATTATGAAATTTATATTAAAATAATATGTTTTATTTTTAAATTTTTTTTATAAATTACTCAGATATTTTAAGTCAAAACATTTTTACTGTGGTAGAATTAATGTAGTAGCTTACTAATATTTTGACTTGACCATTTAATGATGAACTTGAAATCTGCCACCAAATGTGCACGCTCTGAATATTTCCAGTGTCAGTTTCTTTTTTTATGGAACACGCAACACGACAACATGAAATTGTATAAAATTAATTTAAAATTATATTATATATATATATATATATTACATTTCAAATAATTTACAATCACATATTTTATTTACATTGAAAGGATTCTCATGACATAAACAATTAATTTTAAACCATAAACAAACAAAACAGGCCTGGTGGTATTTAACAACTGAGATTATTTCTGATACTTCCTAGAAATTGAGACTATAATTGACTGCATATATCAAGTGAGAGATTCATTAAACTATTTAACGGGACAGTATCTAAATACACAAGGTGACAGAATCTTACGAGTTAAGACACGACAAAAATTATTTTTAATTTGCAACTAACAAACCTGTTGTCACCTGTTCATACATTCACAGGTTACATGAATTTAGTCTAAAGCATCTTAAAAAACAAAACGTTATAAACTTGTATTTTTTTCGTAACAGTCTCGTTCATCTATCCCTCGGTTTAAACACAACAGACGACAGTACTTATATTATTGGTTCATTCTTTTTTCATAAGTAAAAGTTTTAAGAGAGTAGCATTCCAAAAAACTTAGTGTGTTGAATAATTTTACAAACAAAATCTTTGTATCAGTAATAAAAAGAACTTGTATTGTTATAAGTGGAATGATTATTAACTGCAGCATATCAGTGGTTGCATGGGACCAAGTGTCCTTCATAAATGAAATATGTATATATAGGAAGCTTTCCCACACACAAAAACTGAGCACTGTAGCGACGTTTCCTTCTTTTGTAACGTCTTTCTGTGGTGATATTTTATGAATTCCCTAAAGACAAAAGAAAATAAAGTGAGGTAGGAAATTATAGTAATATATACTTTCACTAAACAAGGCCGTTCCAAGTCCTAGAAAGTTTCATTAGCCCAGCTGTGAACAGTTGCACACCAAACCAAACCCACCCTTTAGTTAGTCCCTAGTACTGTCACCTTTGTTAAACCACACCAACACTCTTTCTTCCTTCTCCTCTGCACTTTTCTCTTGCCATTACTCTCTCTGACACCTGTGCCTTCGTTTTCTGTGTTCAAAGTGATGAAAGAGGTGACGGTTGAAGCTGATGGAGGCCAGGGAGGCGCACAGGGCGTGCAAGAGGGTGGTAAGGGCACCGTTAGGCCAGACATACACAACAGGGCCATGAAAATTTTGAGGGCAAGAGAGCCTTATAATGGGTATGAGGAAGTGGGAGAGAAGCCCTCAGGGTTTGAAGTTATGGGGTGGTACCTTTACGAGTTTTGCTTCTACTTTGTTCAAACTGTGCTTGTTCCTGTTGTGTTCCCTCTCATTATCAGTCAGCTACAGCGTCTTCCTGCAGATTCACTTCAGGAATGGGCCAAAAACCACCCAGCCAAGCACTGCTCACAAAAGGAAATTCATCTGTAAGTCTACTTTTTCATTCTCATTCTCATTTTTTCCTCATTGTCGAAACATTCAAGTCTTTCCCTTTCCATGGTCAATTTCACTAGCCATAGTAGTACTAAATGCCTTTTTTTTAAGAAAAAAAAATTGGTTACTGTGTGTTTTTTCTTCTGCAGTCTTGATCTAGACTAGTGTATGTGTTTTGGCGTTTTGGGTGTTGTGTTACAATTTTTTTTTTTTGCTGCAAATGGCCATGGATGGCATAGGAGATTTTATTTTGTAGAAGAAAAAGAGAAAAGATTAATTTTGTGGTTTTAAAAACTAGGCAGCGTGACAAGATGAGCATAGGGTTCCATTATGTTTTTTTATTTTTTAAATATTATTTTGAGCCGTTTGGTTCCACTATAGTTCACCATCATGAAAAGTCGTGCCTTTGTGGCTTTCTTGCAATTCTACTTTACTCTTACTCTACTCAAGAGTTAAGATTCCTTTTTCAAAGCACCTCATTACCTATCGGACATCAAACCTATTTATTAACTATGTTCCCATGTCTCGACCTTTGGTGTACAACAAAAAACAACCTAAAGCCATGCCCTTGTTTTCTTGGCCCAAACAAGAGAGAGAGGGTAAAAATCTATGCTTTCCTCCTAGGGAGTTTCCAAATGTTTGTCCCACTATCCAAAAAGTCATCAGTCACCTTTTAAACTTTGAAGATAAGAACCATATTATCCACAACGGTAAAATTTCGCATTTATACTATCTCTTCCACTTAACTATTATATTAACTTTTAATAAACACTATTAACACTAATCACTTCTTTACTTTGAAGATCTATACCCTTCGCTCATACATAATAAATTTCACATTAAAAACAAGAGTATTGTTTGAGAAAGGATGGACCTTTAATAATGCATGAAGTCAAAATTCTTCTCTTTCAGAGCATTTAACCAACCTTTTGGTTAAAAAAATAAATTTCAATCAAGTCATTGTCGGTGGTTAGGTTATTTTGGTAATAATATCCACTTTAACGACAATTAACAGTGCCGACAGAATGAAATTGTTTCTATATCTTAACCATGCATTTGTAATTTTCTTACAACAGTGCTTCCACCAAGGAATAGTAGTAACTAATTTTTTTCCTGCTAGGCTTAAGGTCAATGTTCCCAAACCCACTACAGGATTAGTACTGTGTGTGCAGAAAATAAATGACATACAGTATTCACTATGTAAATTGTCCTCTCCGTGTGCTTTTGCATGTTCCCGAAGTTTCATTTATCCATGGCAGCATTCCCATGAATAGCAGGAAGATTTTGTGTGCATGAACATGGTGATTTGTGCCAACATATTAAGACAACATTTGGACGAATACTTATGCTACTAGTTAATTTAAAGAGTAAATAGCTCATGCACTTAAAATGCAATGTGTTCTTACAGTGTTCATCCCATTACAAATTAGTATTTATGATAAGTTTGTTTATTTATACAATAATTATCTTCAAAAAAAAGGATGATTTCTGATAGATTGATTGTTGATACTGAGACTATGGTAAAAGCCATAACTTAATTTAAATCAAAACATCTAACACAACTGCAATGTGGTGGAATTGCAGGTATAGCAAACTAACAAATCACACCATAAGAACAAGTGGTGGATCAAATTTCTCCTCTTTGGAGTGGACATCAATTGCTTGGGCCACAGGTCTAGCCTTGGCTGCTCCAATTCTGGGGTTCATTTCCTTCCACCTTGATGGCCACTTCCCAAAGCTCATCACAGCAGCAGCCACAGGCATTGGAGTGTTCTTCTGCCTCCCTGCAGGCTTCTTCAAAGTCACAGCTATCTTCGTTCCCTACATTGCCGGCATTGTTGCAGCCAGCACAGTTGCTACTGCTGCTCACACCCACCACCTCGGCCTCATGATCCGCTGCTTCACAGGACCAACCCTCAAGAGAAACCAATTCTCCATCAGACAAGCAGTCTCCGGCAGACTCTCCCTCCACGCCACAGCGGCAGGATGCCTTGGGGCCGCCATAATCTCCTCCTTCACATACCATATGCTCCGGGAACTCAATGACAACGACCGTGATGTGATGAGTCTTTGGGTCGTTTCAATCTTTAGTGGCTTAATATGGCTTGTGGGGGTGTTACACATTGTCACATCCATCAGCAGAACCACTGATTCCATCTCTTTCTCCTCGAGGCTCCACCCTTTTTCCATCTTCAAGTACCCTCATGCAATTGGAGGCCTTGCTGGGGTTTTCCTCTCCTCATTCACCACCATGTCGATTTTCACTGGTGGAGTTATCTTCATAGTGGGACAACTCTGCATTAAGCCATTGCACTTACTCTATTTCTGGCTAACTTACTTCCTTTTCCCTCTTGTTTCGTTGTCACTACTGCAACCCTTGCTGCACGTGATCAAGATGAATTCTGTGAAAATGCAAATAGTGGGGTTCCTTTTGTCACTCTTGTCATCTGGGTTTGGATTCTACTATGGCCACAGCCACTGGAAATGGGGCCACTTGGTGTTATTTGGTGCAATTCAAAGCACAGCAACAGGGATTCTGTATGCTTTTGGGAGGCTCTTGGTGTTGGACTGTGCTCCCTCAGGGAAAGAAGGTGCATTCTCCATCTGGTATGCTTGGATGAGAGCTGCAGGGTTGTGTGTGGGGTTCACGGTGGGGTCAGTGGCGCCGGGGAGAATTAGGACTTCATTTGGAGCTGCATTTTGCACTGCCATTGCTGGAATTGTGGTGCTGCTATTCGGGAACATCAGCGATGTTGGAGGTGCTGTTGCTGCGGGGCATGTCAGAGATGAATGTGAGAGAAGTTCGGGTGTGGCTGGCTTGGATTCTAAAGAATCTGCACGCGTTTGAATAACGAAAAGTGCTGAAGAATATTGTTGTCTTGTGCGTTATATGATGATTCTTTGCAAATGAAGTTAGTGCATGCTAGAGTATAAGGCTTTTTTTTATGATTGATTTTTAGATGTATTCTGGTAGTTAATCGCTGTTGTTGTGCATGCATGCATGTTTGGTCTCTGTTGAGGATTTGGGTGCTCGTGGCATGTGTAACTGTGTTATAGTATTTTCTCATATTTCTTTCTCTTATACATCATTTCTGCCCCAAAGTCTAAGTGCTCATGCCTCATCATTAGGGACATTTGAATACTATTTTAGCTCTAAATATATCTTCCAAGGTACAATAGTTGAAAAGAACATGAAGAGAATATAGGAAAAGGTTTTAATATATTAGTGCCTCGCTTAATTTTAGATGGTTTAATTTAAATCTTTTACCTAAAAATATTATAATTGGATTTGCGATTTTCTCTAATTTCTATTATTGTCTATTTCACCAAAGTACAATTGGCATCAAATATTATTTTCAGGCCATGTTTACGAAATAAAGAAGGTTACAATAATGTTAAAACTTATGTATTTTTAAATAAATCAAGTTATATTTAAGTTTTTAATTCATATATTATATAACTAACATTCTCCTAATTATTTTTATTTTAGACACGTCGATCCATGGAAATTTTTATATCACTCAAAAGATTTTATGCTATTAATTAAAATTATTACATATGCAAATTTTTAAATTTATTATTACAAAAGTTCAATAATTTATCTAAATTAAAATTCTACAAGAAATATACTAGGAATATAGTATAACTAATAATTAAACGTAGCGTTCAGAAGCTAATTATTCAATTATACTTTCAACTGATTATAATCTTAAAATGATGGCTGCAAGAAATCCATTACTTTTTACTTCTCTTTACAAACAAAACAATGAATGGGAACCTTCTCTAATACATTGCCATTGATGCCCTCCATTGCCCTTCTAATTCCCCTTTTTTATTTTGTTTACTGTTGATGAAAGTATTTTTATAAAAACATGTTCAGCTACATTATATAAAAACAAACAGTGAAAAATAAATTTTTGTTTTTTTTTTTAAATAACACCGAAAAACTTGTTTTGTGTTGATAGAAAGTGAGTTCAGAATACACAATGTAAAGTTTCTTTTATATATTTTTTAAAAAATTAACACAACGGAAACTTGTTTTGCGATAATCTTTTTTTTTTTAATTATACTTCTTTATATATATATATATATATATATATATATATATATATATATATATATATATTAAAAAAAACATACAGTAAATATGATTTTGTTGTTTTAAGTATTCATTTTCATTCAAAAGAATCATACAACAAAAAAGATTTTTCATTGCGTTAATTTTTTTAAACATTTAAATACAAGGAAACTTGTTTCTTTGTTCATTTTAGTATGTTTCTGTGATAGGTGTTTTAACCTATATATCAAAAGAATATAGCTGCTTTCTCTCTTCACTTCGATTGAGAATTCAAATAGTAATCTGGGGGTGCTAATAGCATGCAATACCTTAATGGTGTGGGAGCTACGCAGCCCATCTTATTGGGCTTCACACTAAGAAGAAACAATCAAGCCCAAATTTACCCATATCTTCACCTCAAATTGAAAACAAAAGATAGAATTAAGAAAAAATAAAAACACAATCCCCAAATCGAAGGTTAAAAAAAAAAAAAACACACTTTGGCAATCACAGGTTTGGGTTCGATTGTGCAGATACTGCAAATCAGTGAAATCGCCATGCTTCGTTGTTTGACGAAACTTCGTTGCTTCGCCGTTCAATCACGCCAAGTTCTACCACCGCCCGCTTCTCGCCGTCTCCTCCACCATTTCCCGCCGCAATCCCTTCACACTGCTTCCACATTCCGCACTTGCTCTCCTCCGTCTTTCATCTTCTCTTCATGGCCTCTCCACGCCTCTCATCCTTCTTCTTCCGTAAGTCTTCGATGCTATTATTCTGTGCTTGTCATTCCGATCGTGATTGTCATAGCAGTTTAATTTGTTGTGTATAGATGGTTCAAGTGCGCCACGTGTCGTCCAGGGAACGAAAGCTGAGAAGAAAACCAGTGACTCCAACCACTTCCAAGGTTAAGAAAACCAAAATGAAGTCTTATTCGTAAGTTTCATCTTCGTTACTCTTATAGCTTTTTAAGTGTGTGTGGATTTTTTTTATTTCTTTTTGTGGAGTAAGTGGGTTTACTTTGATTGGAGCAGGTCTTTAAAGTCCAGATTCAGAACAATGAATGATGGGAACTTCAGACGCTGGAAGGAAGGCAAGCGTCACAATGCTCATCTCAAGGTTCAGATTTTTCTTTCTTGGATTTAGTAAGGTTTTATGATATGTGATGATAACCCAATTTAGATAAACTTCACAATAAGTGTTTATAGGGGAAGAAATAAGAAATGTAAAATGAATTAAACTTCTATGTAACAATTAACTTATTACATCACTTCAACTTTTATGTAAGCTCTCTGATCTATATTCTCCAAAAGCTTATACACAAGGTAATATGGAGGAAGTTTAATTCATTTTGCGTTTTTATTTTTATTTTCTTCTATTGTAACTGTTTGTAGATGAATTTATCCAAACGGGCTCTTTGGGATTATTTGTTGAAATTTGAGTTTCTTGTTGATGTTTTTCTCAAGAATCCTTGATCATTTCTGTTGTTCTATCGGTGTGAATAGCCAAATAAATCATGTCATACTCATTCCGAGAACTCCCTTCTCAACATTTCATGGGTGGAAATAAATCACCCACCTTTATCTTGACAAAGTTATTGACTTATTCATATTCACAGTGAACAGCTGCTGCCCTTCCTAAGCAAGATTCCTATAGCATTTGTATTACATTACATTCACAAGTAATTAGATAAATTGGAGAAACAAACACTTAAATGGAAACAGTGGCAGGTTTCTTTCAGAGTGCTTTCGAAAATTGAAACCATAAGAGCGGTTTCTAACTTAATGAGCTAGATTATGATTTGGATTTTTTTCATTTGCATAAAATGGAGCAACATATAGGATGTACAGTAGTGAAATTTAACTGTGTGATGGGGCAACATGGTATGCTTGTAGATACGGTATTAACAAGCATTTGAAAGAAAATCAAAATACAGAATTTAGTGGCATTGTCATTTGTTGTGGGTGGATGCACTAACTTGCCTGTAACGAAGAGAAAAATAGTTGTGAAGTTTGTCTTGTTTTGGGTTTGTGTGTGATGGATGTTGTGGTATTACCAGGTAGGCTAGCAGGTTACTCTTGCAGTTTTACTTGACAATCGACATAAATACTTTTGTGTTTATGGTTTATTGCCTCATAGGTATACTTCTATAGTAGTATTTGTTCACTCCCTCGTTAGCTTTCTCTGCTGTGAAAATAACATTATAAGATGGTATGAGATGTTTGAGTACAAAACACTAACATAGTACATCTGTTTAAAAATATATTTGTGGTCAGTTTTCTAGTGTGGTACATCCGGAACTGTTTATTTGAAACTTTGCAGTAGTATGTTGTATTAATAAAAAATTATAAGCACAATGTCACAGAGAAAGCATTTAGTGAAAAAGTTGTTTTCATGTAAAATTAAGCGAAGCATACATCTATGAAGCCTATCTCAATAACATTCCTGACATTATTAGTTACAAACAATATCAAAAGTCTTGTCCCACTAGTTGTCCCAAGCCCTAACATTGTTATTAGACTGAAATTAGGTGGGCTAAAAATTTGAGTCATTGGAGGCAATAATATCTATTTTTTACATTTGTTAAAAAAGAATTGGTATAAATATTAAAGATTATAAAAAATGTTTGCATATATGATTTCTGGTAACTAATTTGCACATTTTCAACATAGGTATAGAAGTTTAAGATCTTAAGGTACATAGGTACTGATGAGTTGAGATATTTTCTTTCTCATTGACTACTGAATGTCAATGGGGAATTCAGAATTCACTGCACAAGCAATTCATAAGGCATTGTGGGAACAACAAAAGTACTGATGTATGTCTGAAATACGGAATTTATATTTAGTGGGGGCATTGGCCCACAATTCATTCCATATGGGCATGTCCATACTTTTAAAGTCTATGCGTGAATTACTAATTTTTATCCATATTTGCTGGCTTATAAATGTCGATAGGAAAATTCAGAATACACCGTGAAAGTAATTCAAAATGCTGTGGTGATAACAAAAAATACTCGTATGGAATTTGTACTTGGTAGGGGCATGTGGCCCCCTCACTTCACTCTACATATTAGTACAATTTACTAAGTGTTTTTTTTTTTTTTTCCGCGAATCCCACTTTCCTAGGAGATAGAACACCAATCCCACTCTCACGGGTCTGTGGCATTCAAGATGACAGTGACACACCATGCAATCAAACACTGCCTTAATTGTCTAGACTCTAGTTTGGCACTGGAACCAAAATCTCATAGGCCAATCTATATCAATGTAATAAACTGAAGATAAGGAACTGAATTTGAACAAATTAAAATATTTAAAATTAATTACAAGATCAGCATGGTAACCTGACAAACAAAAGAGGGGCAAGGCAAGGAAGGAGGGAGGGACCAAACAGTTAACTATGCTTCACTTAAATTTGATGAATTATATCTTTACTCTCCTTAAAACTGATGAATTTCTGTTATCCTATGCAGTCAAAGAAATCAAAACGTAGATTGAGGAAACCTGCCATTGTCCCAGCAGCTTATGCCAAAGTAATGAAGAAGCTCAATTTTTCTGCTTAGACATTGTAAGTTACTGCTGGTTACAGCATGAAAGAGGATGAAGCAGGTTTTGCATTTTAACTCTGATCATTTGTTGACCTTCACATTTTAGAATCTGTAGAACAAGCAAATTCCCGAGCAATTTCTTATTCTTTTTTTCTTTTTTGGAACAGTTAGAATTGATGATATTTCGAGGTCTCATGCCTATTCAAAGGGGGCATGTTTTAGTTGACAATGTGTGCATTACTAAAATCCAGTGGCTGATTGATCCTTTCATGTGATACATTGGATTCGTCTTTAGTTTGATAAATATCGGACTCATGGATGGATGTTGTAATAAGGGATTAATTAAGCCCGCGTCTCCAAAATCTCGATTTCGTGTTCATATTAGCGTTTTAATACTGATAAAAAAAAAGCTATTTTTTTACTATAAATATAGAGCAGAAACAAAATGTGCATAATTAGCTTTAATGGTACAATTTTATTTTATTTTCAATAAATAAGTTCTAAAGTCTACTTTTGTACAAAATAAGAATGTATTCACTCTTGATAGTATACAAAGTTCATTTACGCCTTGTAGTAATGTATAGGGATAAATTGGATATTCAGTATGAAGAGATATTTAAGCAAAATTAATATTATTAAATAAAATTAGGTAATGAAAAAACCATCTTTTTCAATAAGAAATAAAGCAGTCATCTGAGTAACTAATGTAGCAATTTTTACAGTATGTGGATAATTAATATTTAATCCTCAACTTTATGAAAGCCAATAATTAAAAATAGTGAAATTACAAAATCACACTAAAAGGGAAACAGGGATATTGCATTGGAAATCATAAACATCAATTCAAATCACCGCCTTTATATAACGACAGAAAAGATAGGAGTTAAAGAAAATGAGGTAAAAAAACAAACATTTTTTCAATTTGGATGATCATAAGGTAGAAGTAGACCATATAAATATATCTTATTGTGGACTGGCACTACTCAACAATATTTGAATTTTATGAAGATATTTTTATTTTAATTCATATAAGAGACAAAATATATTGATAGTAACCTAATTAGTCGAGTCTTGTTGGCTAATTTGGACATTCATTAGTGTAGGCATCCATGATTGATCTCTTGGAAATATCTTTTTCAGTTGATGAAATCTCCAAATTCTTCAATCTCTCTTTGAAATACATTTGAACACAAAAAAATTAATAATTTTAATTTTGAAAATATTCATTCTACTGAAGTTATAGTGCCGTGAATAATTGAAATATTTTATAAGCTATCGATACTTCTAGAAGAGAATTTACCTTTTCTATAATATTTAATGTTTCAAGTTGTATTTTAGCTTTTATATTTATAGTATCCTTTAAAGATTTTACTTCAAAATGCAATTTTCAACTTTCAAATTTATGTATAAATAATTAAAGAAAAAAAAAGGTTAAAGCCCCATTTTACTACTTGAAGAATGGAAGGGAATGGTAGTTCATGATGTAGGTTCATCCATAAGAGTATTAAGTGAAAAAGGCGGGGGTCCTGAAGAGCAATAAATGGGTGTTTCAGTAGCAACTCCCTCAAGATTTAAGACTTCTGTCATGTTTCAAATTTTTAGAATGCTGAGAGGAAGATAAGGATATTATTTTCCTTTCATTTAAACTTAAGGATGTTACCAATTTGATTTTAAGATTAAGACCATTTTCCCTAATAAAGTTTATGAATGAAGGCTTAATAAACTCCTCTGCATAATACATCTATTCTTCCAAAAGTATTTTTTTACAAAACAAAAACAACTTATTATTGCTTCCAATAAAATATTACAAGAAATGTTGCTGAGGTTCTTACTCTTCCCCCTCTACAATTGTGTAGCAATAAGGTATGCGATGGAAGGTATGGCATTTAAAGGAATGTCCTGAAAACGCAGCAAGAACTTAATATGGGTCGAGGTGTCCAAATTTCAGCCAACTATTGCAAGCAAACTTTGTCTGACTGCAGGAATTGAGCAGAGTATACATCCAAATATTCCATTCAGAGCATAAGCAATGGCACAAAATGGAAGAGCCTCAGGTTCCTTGGCAGATAAAGCCGCTGTTCCAAGCCCATGACAACTGTATAAATTGATCCAAGAGCAACAAAAATAAGCATGTATGCTTCAAGAACAAAATAGTTTATCTACCTTAATTGCTTTTTTCCTAAAGAAATCATATTTTTCCGTGTCCAAACTGAGTACACATTCCGAAGCACTTTGCTTATGAGGGTAATTGAAGATTGGTCTGCACTCTGCAGACATTATGGTTTCTTAGTAAAATGAATTATCTGTCAATTACAGAATATACCTTGATGCGGTTGCAATGCCACGAGCAATTGGATCACGAAGACGAAGTTTATCAAGTGTTGATTGCACAAAATTTGCACCAACTAAACCAGTCACTACAACTGTAGCTGCTGTGACTGATGCATTGGCACCTGCAGAAATGGCAAAATTTCGAAGATGAAATTGCTTTATCGTCTGCTTCGAGAGATGGCCTCGTAGGACTTAAACAAACTAGGATTTTAAACTAAGTAACCTTTACATTTATTGCATTAGATCCAATTTAGATTCACTGTGTACATAATGATTGTGATAAAGGGCCATGAATAACATGATGTTTACCTTCAAAAAAAGACACAATGCTGAGAGCCAACGCCACTGTTATACATCTGGGTAGAATGGATATGGTTAAGGATGGTTCTAAAGCAAGCAGGCGTCCAACAAGGGCAGTTGAATACAATGAGAATATGGTAGAGATTATGACAGAGGTGAAAATCTCAGCTGCATGCCTTTTTACAAGCTGAACACGGTAGATAAAACATTAGTCAATGCTTTAATGGATTTTAGCTATTGTTAATTAAAACGATGGTGTAGACAACTTACAACACATGTTTTGTACAGGGGACTTTGGCTACATGTCGTACTTATGACCGATAATGGACATACTTGGTGCACAGAAAAACAAAAGATATGTAGCGTTCCATGTTCTAATCTGAATACATATTTGCTCAAGATCAAACTCTATAAAGTCATTTGCAAATAACTACCCTATTCTCCTTATAAAGGTCTTTTCTATTTTGGCAAGAAGGAGAAAGAGGAACTGATAAAAGAGATGCTTAAATGTAAAAAATTGGATCAGCAAACCAAACTTAAAAATATACTGAAGCTACCATCGTGGCATTAAGATAATAAAAATATTATGTTTAGCAGATCTGTTAAAATTGAACTCATTATCTTCAATTCATCCTCAGTTTTTTCATTGTTTTCTTTTACGGGTGGCAAATTGGGAGAAAAAGCTACTGACTTGAAAAATCTGTACAAATCACTTACTGAATAGCTGTTGTACATTTTAATTATTCAGAACTCAATAATAGCATATCAAGCATTGGAATATGGTTCACGGCAACTTGCCTAACTTTGACAAAATTTAAAAGAGACAGCCGGCAAAGTAAGCAGAATATCTTGCTTTTATGTGTTTTACTTTTTTTATTGCAGTATAGGATTCATGTTGTGGCAATTACAAATCTAGATGGTTACCTTTCTTTGTTTGAACATAGAGAAGGCAAATGAGAGAATAACAGATCCCAGAAATCCCATTAGAATGTCACCGGCACCAGGATTTGATGATGAGTTTGTAAGGTAATATCCTGAAAGTCAAAAGAAGAATTAGCAAAATTATATCAAAGCTAAGTCAGATGTTAGTGTCTATTGATAAATTAGCTCTGGACGTAGCTAAATGAAATGGAAAACCATTTAGTGCTACACTTTTTACATTAATGTTGTAAGAGACCATAAATCAAACCAAATAACGTGAGCGTAGCTCAAGATTAACTTGAGATAAGTTATTTTCCTATAACTCGTTCTCATACTAAAATTTAATTAATGATTAATCACATTTGAACTTAACTTGGAGTGGGAAAAGGCTTCAAATGCTTATAGTAACTCATAAGATATCTGTATTAAGAATTGAAATTTCTATTTCCTAGTTGAAGTAGGCTATCAAGAACAACTTGGTGCGCATTTGATTTACCATTGCAAGTTCTCCAAACTATTTTTGGGCAAAAGGAAGATTTTTCCTTCGAGAAAAGTTGCCCTTACTAAAAAAGAGTTGAATATTAACTTTAACTATAATTTATACCCAGAACAGCATCAAGCCCTAACTTAGAAAGAAATCCAAAAGCAACTGCCGTTAGCTCTGCAGATGCTGCACAAAAAATTATTGGGTGGAAGACCTTCTGCACGCTTGATGGCAATCTGAAAACGAGGGGAAGAAGTAAGAAAAGGAAAAACTATAGTTAATTCTAGTAAAATGCAAATACAATGTTCCATGACAACAATCATTTTTTAGCTCCATCTACGTCATAAACAGAGAAAGAAAAGCCATGTAAATAGTGTAAATGATGCAGTGATGAAAAGGAATCTTTACCCTGAACCAATCATGTAGCCTAACACTGTGGACGCAAGCAAGAATGGAAGATATGTTCTGGCTCTTGTCCCCAATGCTGTTGGAAAAACTAACGAAGCAGCAAAGGATATAAGGAGAACCCCAGTCCATACCCACACTTCAGTGGAAGAAAATGGAGATGGCTTCTCCATAGGCTCAGCATCTATCAATTCTGTCTTCACAGCTTTCCTTACACCTATAGCCGTCAAACCAGTCACACAAAGTGTTGCTAGCCATCCTCCAACTGCACAAGTTCAACAAGTCTCAACTCTCATCATCAAATTGTAACATTTAGACCCTATTCACATAAACTTCTCCATGATCACTTATAGGTGAAAATATTAAGAAGATAAAATGAATTGTGTATCAAGTTCTTCAATTAACTTATTTTCTCATCTATTCTCAGTACTTATTATCCAAACAAGATCTTATTTACTCATAAAAACAGACACCGTCATCATTATTAGAGTGCTTGAAACATCATCATCACCATTCATCATGATCATAAGAACAAGAGTTTGTCCAGTAATCTATACCTATTATAAGGCAAATTTTTATGGCAGAAGAAGCGGGAATATCTTTAAGAGAAAGGGGAAGCACAACCAAATAGGGAACATAGAACAAAGGGAGCCATCTCTGGATGAACATAATCCCCGGTTGAAAGAACTTCTCCAAGGCCACAGCAGCAGAGGGCATAGTATAATCAAGAATAATGAGAATAGAGAAAATACAGAACATCCCGAACAAGGCACTAGGGAACTCAATTGAAGCTGCTGCAAAGGCTTTCTTCAAGAGAAAGTCAATGGCCAGAATGAGGCCAAGGGAAACAGCCCAATGCAGCACCCGAAACACTCGAAGACGCCAAGTTTGGGTAACAGTCTCAGTCTCAATCTCAGTCTCAGTGGAAGTGCCCCCAGTTTGGGATTGGAGTAGCTCTGTGCAAAGTTCTTCACTTTTGCAACTTTCTGGGGTACCCATTTGCTAACAACCACGAATGGATCCCAATACCTCGAGTGAGTGAGCAAACTACACAAAATAATCGTTATATAATGTTTGGGAGGGCAATAAGTGGTGACCGATAACAGAAAAAGACAAAAAAAAAAAAGAGTATGCTGACTCTACACGTTTCTCTCCGCCATCGGAAACTGACGCTTGGCATTTTTTACAGTTAGATATGTTGTTTTGTTCTAATTTTTAGTTGTTAAAAAATAATTTTAAAAAATTGTTTATAAGAATAAGTTAAAATAAAATATTTAATAGTTATAATTTGAAAATTATTTATTCACAGTATGACAGTAGTAATAGAAATGTGTCATGTGATGTTATTCAAATCTACATATGTGATATTATAAATTTGTGGGGATTAAAGATAAAAATAAAATAAATATTCTTAATCTACTTAACCATTTGGTAAGGGTTATATTCACACTCTTTTCAACTAAGTTTAATCCATATTTTTTCTTAACTCGAAAAGACTTCTACTACCCCACTTGCCCCCACCCCTGGCCCATTTTTGTACAGGAAAAAGAACGCTTTAGAGCTTTGTGGCAATGTATAAACCGCTTAATAAAAGGAAATATCAAATCTAAATCTTGAAATTAATCAAGTGGTCCTTTATTTTTATTTTTTTAAAAGCAATGAAATCATTCCATTCTTCTTTCTTGTGTCTATTGGTTGAACCTAGAATACAACGATTACTAGTAAGACAAAAAAAAATCAGTATGAAAGTATCATTCACTCAGAATGTAATATCATGTGACAGAATGTTCTTCAAAACTTCACTAGCCCTCATGAATGATTACACTTGTATGAATTACATTCACTCAGCAAATTATGTGAAGACCATCCACTTTCCAAAATTTTCCTTTGGTAATTTTTCAATGTCTAGTCTTTATAGTTTAGAAATCAAGTAATTCTCCAGCTGCTTGCGTAGGATCTTCCCAGTCGCAGACCTTGGTATCTTGTCAGTGAAGAACACTTTCCTAATCTTCTTATATGGAGCAACCTGCCACAAGAGTTACAAATGGTACAAAGTCTTAGGAGCTAATAACAACGTAACATAATTCAAATAGGAGAAAGTAGGCTATGCGTAATTTTATACTCGTCCAAACATAAACCAAAATGTATAGTTTGTTGATGTTAATGATAACTATCTTAAAGATCATTTCAATGAAGATTTTGATGATGTAAAACTATTTTACATTGTCAGTGCAGGACCATTAAATTCTTGAAATAGTAGCTAGCTGATGTAACACCTTGATCATGATCATAAATGTGAAAAACAATCGTAAAGACAGTATGTATTGATCCAAGAGAAAATGTGAATTGAAATATCATAGCAATTAAAAGTCTGTCTTATCAGGACGAACCTGCTCAGCAACATAATCCATAACATTCTTCGGAGACAGCACACTTCCAACCTTCCTTACCACAAATGCCACTGGCATCTCCCCAGTTTCTTCATCCATTGCACTGAAGTGGAAAATGATGCAACATCTCAGGGTATTTTAAGGGACAAAGAAGGGCATTGAGTATGGATGACTAATAAACATATATAGATATTTGGATCTTTCAAAAAAAAAATCATAAACCAGGTTCTTATCACTTATAAAAGCAGTACATGCATGCAGGGGGAAGAAGAAAGCTATGAAAGAAGGATAATTCGCTTGCTTAAGGTGTTGGAGCGTCTGACATGCTTCCGACACTGACACCTTCCGGAACCTTATGCAACACATATCTGACATTCCTCATTTGATGTCTACTTAAAATAAAAATTATTGAGCTGACAATTCTATTTCAGACTTCAGACAGTTGAGTCAAAATGAACAATGGACACTAATATTATCTTAATTATCATTTTAGACCTTTGTTATATCCAGTGTTTGTGTTTCATGGAGTTCATACTTACCCTGCAACAGCAACATCAACTATTTCAGGATGCAAAACTAACACAGCTTCTAAATCGGCTGGAGCAATCTGTAATCATAAGCCACACATGTAAGAATATATACAACACACAAGTTTATCTAAATTATATTTTGGAAACCTAATAAGCATTGCATGTGTTTCTATGAACAACAGGTGTGGTATATCCACACACAGTATGGATTTTTGTCAACTTCTGAATGTATTTATTCATCGTCCAAGGGCGAACAGGGACGGGGAGGGTTTGAACATACAGACCCAAAACCTGCATGCCCTACAATCCGAACAACTCAGCTGTCTCAAGGGAACAGTTCTTATTTGTATGTAAGCTTGAAAAAAGGTTGTTGTTATTCATTAAGGAAATTATGTTTTCTTTTCTGTTAAAAGTTTAAAAATGTTAATACAAAAATTAGATACCTGAAAGCCCTTGTATTTGATGATATCTTTGAGTCGGTGAGATATGTACATGTACCCATCATGATCAAAATAAACAACATCTCCAGTATGTAGCCAACCCTCTTTATCAATTGTTGACATTGTAGCTTCCTCATTGTTCAAGTACCCTGAGAAATTAAGTAGAAAATTTCAAATTAATGTATTTCAATTGAAATATCAATAAAATAGGCAAAGAAAAATGTATTAGCAGAGAGGCTTTACTTGATTAGATTTAGGAACACACGAACACACCTCTAACATAGGAAAATCACAGAAACAAGAACTCACAACAACAAACATTACCAGATGCCTTGAAGAGTTTACCTAATCTAAACAAACAGAAAACTTTTGGTAATCTTTACTGGCAAAGACATGACAAGTATCTTTTAACTGAAAAAGTGACAATGGCAGCAATATCAGATTGTAATAATTAAAACAAGTGGTTAAAATATGTGTGTTTGGTTCAAGTTATTGTGAAGAAATAATAGCATATTTTCATGAATTTTCAATAAAATTTTTGAAAAATAAGAAATTATTTCAGAGAAATAAATTGTTCCTAAACACACCAGTAAATGTAGAGCTTATTTTTACTCCACAAAAATAAGGTACTAAAAGATATACTACTTTGTTCTTGTTTCAGAAACAGATAACTTTGTGTCTAATTGTATAAAGGTAGGCACAAGCATGATGAAATTGGTTCTAGAGTTGCTCAGCCCAGTGGAACACTTTGAACAGTTCCAGTTTCAACAACTTCCATTCCTCACATTAGACCATTCCTATGTCAATCACTTCCATTCCTCACTTTAGATCATTCCTAATAATTGTTGTACTTCACAAATCACATTAATTCGTTGACTGACGGTATCTTGATCCTTAACAACCCAGCGTTAATTTGTTACAAACACTGACAGATAAGCTTATAACATCACTCACTGGAAGAATACTAAACATAAATGGAGCTTCTAAGTCGAATTTTGGTGTATATGAAATATAATAAACCGTGATATTCAATTATTATTTCCAAATAGGTAAAAAACGAATAAGGTGAAATCAATTCAGGAAAACAGAGTTTTACCCTTCATAATTGAAGGCCCTCTCAACCAAAGATCACCACTGCTGCCAGGGGGCAAAAATGCACCAGTATTCCAGTCTACCACTTTTGCCTCCATGTTTGGAGCTAATAACCCTATTGAAGAATAATTGCGAAACTTTCCAGTATTGAAACCACGTGATCCTACGGCAGTTGACTCAGTCATTCCATAACCCTAAAAGGAGACATTATTACAGCTGCAAATTCTAAGAAAATCTAGCAAAACAACATTACTATAATCAAATAAAAGTCCAATTATAATAGTCCAGCAGTACTTGATGTGAACATTAACAGCACAATAACAGTATTTATTATTTGTTATTACACAAAAGTTGAAAGCTTATATGCAGAAAGAAGGGGGAGTTCACATGGCTTCTTGTATGGGAATAATAATTGAATATCACTGTTATTAGCACCATTCGGCCTCATTTACCAAATTTATGATAAGAATATGAAATGAAATGGCATCAACATTCAGCTTATTAAAACAATATCACACACCTACAATACAGACACGCATATATGGTATTGATTCTAGCAATTAGATGATTGCTGGCAAATGACTTGCATTCTTTGATAAGACTATCGAGGTTCTTTACCTGTATAAAATCAACGTTGGGGTAAGTTCGGAGAAAGTCATTAACAACTCCTAAGCTCAAAGGCGCTGCACCACTGGAGACCTGTATCAAACTCTGCAACTTACTGCTATTAACACCATTTGCCCTCATTATCAATGCTGTCAACATCGGTGGAACAACAGGAAAGTGTGTAACTTTATATTCATCAATCACCCTGACAACCTCATCTATGTCAAATTTCCTCATCACAACGACCGTAGAACCCAAAGACAGCAATCCCAAAGCAAATAGCGACAAGCCATACACATGGAACATTGGCAAAACAGCCAGATACACGTTCCCTAAACAAGACCTTTCATATTGAGAAGCTTCAAACCTCACAAAAAGCTCAACCATAGCAATAAGATTTTTATGAGACAGAACAACCCCTTTGCTCACCCCAGTTGTCCCAGAAGAATACAATATCCCAGCAGCGTCATCCTGCTTGATAACAGGCCTCTGAGGCAAATCAAAGTCACAGGAAATCAAGTCACAAAAGCATGAAAAGCAACCATGCCTCAAACCCTTCTCATTTTCTGGCACAGCAATAACAGAAATTCCCAATGGCTCTAGTTTCTTAAAATTTTCAGGCACCGTAAAAGCCACACTCACACCACACTCAGCAACCTGCCTGTGTATTTCATAGGCACTACTAAGAGGGTTCAACGGTGTAGCAACAGCACCCAGATAGAGAACACCCAAGAACACAACGGGATAGTAAATGGAATTTGGAAGAAGAATGAGAACCACTTCACCTTGCGAAACACCCATTTTGTGAAGGCCAGAAGCAACAGATTTTACCAAAGGTAGCAACTTTGAGTAGGAGATGGAACACCCAGACGAGGAATCAACGAGGGCCGAAACCCCAGTATGGCGGCGGGAAAAAATGAAGGAAACAGCATCGAGAAAAGGGTCGGTGGGAAGGTCGACGGGGGCGTGCTTGCTACGGTAAATTCCGGACTTTGGTGAGAACCAGTGATGGTGAGCTAGAGGCATGACGCAGTTTAAATTTGCGGCCACTTATTTTGATTCAGAGAATGGTGCAGATGCCCACTGCAATGGAGTTATGAAGAGCGAGGGATTGCTAGCTATGTTTGAGTCGATTCCAGCTAGCTAGGAAATGGATTCTCTCCCGCAACAAATTCCTAGAAATGTTCAGATTAAGGCACATGAAATTATTGTTTTCAATTTGAACGTTACATAAACGTATCTTTAATGTTTCCTTCTTCTCTTTTTTTCTAAACCTATATGTGCATTTATTTCCAATCCAATGACTCATGCGTTGACAGAAGGAAAATGTTGCGGAGGAGGATCCAGACCCAGCTAGTGTGAGCATGAGAGTAAAGCTACTCTGGTGACGTGAAGATGCCAGCTAAGGAACATGAAGATGAAGTTCAGAAATTGGAACAATGGAATAAAAGAATGAATGAATGCTGGGCGTGATCCGAAAATGGTCTCATGGCAATTTCTTTCACTGTGGAATCTGGGTTTCGGCATGAACTCCTCTACATTTAGGATGGCAATTATCGAATATCCAATTAAAAATTGTATTTAAATATATTTTTTAAATTATTTTAATCTTTTTTGGAACCCCAGCAATAACATATATAATATATAAAGATCCAATTTTTAAGTCTCAATGAAGTTTGAGAAGGGATGAAGATGAAGGGAGTTGCGGCGGCGGTGGGGCGGGACCACTTCGCCGTTACCGTTGCCATTACCATGCTTATACAACTGTTTCTTTCTGCATTTTAACAAAATTTTAATAACAACCGTTGCCATTACCATTAATAACATTAAAATCAATGATATTAATAATTTTAACAAAATAAAATTTAAAAATCAAATATTCATGGATTTGAAAAAAAAATTATTCTCCTATTCATGTAATTAATAAAGCGGTGATATTATAATATTGAAAATGCTTAATTTTTCCCCATAATCCATTAATCTTTTTATTGGTTTTTGATATTTTGTTTATATGAGATCGTTGTCGTTAAATTTTGTTATTTTAGTATTATCATAATTTTTTATTCTTTATTTTATTAACATATGTACTCTATTTACATGTTTCTTCTTTTTATTTAAATAGTTTTTTATCTTTAATAAATTTATTAATTTTATGTTTGATATTTTACAAAGTTTCTATTCTTATATTTTTATTATTGTTATTGTTAAGTTTCATCATCTTAGTCTTTAAGGTAAAAATTAGATTGTTTTATTTGGATCTTAAAAAAATTATTCATCAAATAAGTATAAATTTTTTTTATCTTTAGTTAATGAATGTTAACAAATTATAATTTCTACTTTTGTTTAATGAAATACATAATATTTATAATAGTAAAATTTCAAAAAATTATACATATATTTAAAAGATTGATAAAAAAAATGTGTAAAAATTAAAAAAAGTGAAGTAAAAAAAAGGTATAATATATATCTTCATCAATTATAAAAAAAAATCTAGAATTCATTATTTAATTTTTTTTATTGTTTTGAGATATTCTTATTTTAAGAAATGTTATTATACTTTATGAAAAGAAGAATAAAAATATTTTACTTAAAATATTCTTATTTTTTAAGCATAACACTTTTTTTCTCTCTCATTTTTGTTCATTCTTTCCTTATTTTTTTCTTTATCTTTATGGTAAGGTAAAATTCATGTAAGTCGCACGTTTGTTCTTTCTCTTTTATCTTTATTATTTGTTTTTTATTTTTAAGGTTTCATTTTTTCCTTTTAGAATTGTATCTGTCAATGACTCACTTATTATTGTACTTTTATTAAAAAATTTATTGAAGTTATTATGCTATGATTGAAATCTTTAACTAAAAATAAATCATGATTATTTTTAATTTTAACCAATGGACATTAATAGAAATGAATTATTCAATTAGTAAATATATTTGTGATCTTGATTATATCAATGAACATGATAATGAAAATATGTTAAGTTTGAACATGATGAAAATTATAAATCTAAAATGATTAAGATAAATAACAAAAAGGCTAAATCTACACTATTGTTAGAATTTTTATTAAAATTGGTATGTGTAAGGATAACAAAGAGAGAGTAACATGCAATTGTTGTACCACAAATATGTAACGGGTGACAAGAAATTTGGAACTTATCACTTAAAGTGTCATATGTTGAAAATGTCCTAGAGTAAAATAAAATATGTGAGTTAAATTATTTTAAACATGTAAAGAAAGTTGAAGTATCTAGAACTTAGAACTTGGATCAATTTTTTGAATGTGATACGACACTAGTTTCTAGAAATACTATTAAGAGTGATATATTGAAAATATTTATAAAGAAAAGAACATAAAGAAGTGTTGGGTCTTTCGAAAGGGATTCATTAGGGAGAAACTCAACCAATAAGACATGAGTCCAACCCACATAGGGGATTGACACCACTCTCAACCTAAAATATCAAAACATTAGGTTATTAGTCATATTTCCTTATGTAATATCGGACTTAACTCACATTTAGATTCTCAACAAGAAGAGTTAGCTACAATTTGCTTAACTTCTTATTCATGAACATATGATACAACCAAAATTTGTATAAGTTTGACAACTCATTATATTTAAATTGAAAGTTAAAAAGCAAGATTTTAAAATTTTATTATTTTCTCCACCTCTTACAAGATTTGAGTTATCCAAGAAGAAAATTGAATATTTTCATGATTGGGGAATAGAGGAAAAAAAAATCATTACCTTGAATAATATTTCTAACAATAATATTTTGCAAAGAACATTAAAAAGTCAATTTGTTTTACAAAATTGGTTATTATGTGGTGGTGAGTTCTTCGAATGTGTTGTCATACACATATTTTAGAATTGATTATTTAAGAATTATTAGAGGTATTAGGTAATGCATTAGATCAAATTAGGAAAAAATATGTCAAAAAAATTGATTAAATTGAACAATGTCTTCAAAAATTTAGTGTCATTGATGTTTAGTGGGTTGTATTTAGATGTTTCTACAAGGTGGAACTCAATTTATTTGATGCAAGCAACTGCTATGAAATACTAACATGATTTTGGAGGCTCACAATTAATAATTTTTTTTTTCTACAAGTTACCTTTCTGATATGAAAGAATTGATTCGCTTACTTAGAAAATCAAATTGGAGAAAATAAAGAAAATATTGTATGTTTTCACTCAATATTGTAGCAAAGGTTCAATTTCTATTATAAGGTGTAAGCATATTTATCTTTTATCTTTGAAACCAAACCTCTTTTATGTAAGTTATTTATTATGGTCTAATTTAATTTTTTTTATGAAATTTCAATTAATATTTGTAAATTCTTCATTTATTTATGATATTAGAAATTAAAAAATCAATAACTTCACAAAGTATTAATAAACGGAAAGAAATAAGTTTGATCTATATTTGGATGAACCAATATTAAATTCTAATTTTACATTATATGTGGATGTCCTATAACGATGGAAGAATAATAGCTAATATTTTTCTAATATTTTATTATTGGTTAGAGGATTTTCAATTATATATCATGAGCGTTGCATCTGAATATGCATACAACATTGGATTTAGGATTCTTAGTAAGTATAGAAGTAGTCTTTTACTTTGAAAATGTGGAAACATGATTTTTGTGATAATAATTCATTTAATTTAAATATTATGTTTTTATTTTGATAAAAGTGGAAAGTTCTTTTAAGAATACATCTATATTTTTTATCTTTTATTTTATAATTATTAGATGTACCCTCATAATATTCCTCCACTTTTTATCTTTGTCACTTTTCTCTTCATCTTGAATATCACATGATCGAAGGAAAAAAATTTAATAAAGTATTAGAAAATGAAATATCAAAATAAGGATATAATAATATTTAAATTAAATGAATTTTCATCGTAAAAGTTGTGTCTCCAAGTACAAATTATTACTTTTACGTTTTTTAACAAAAGATGACTTTTATACTTATTATTGTTATGATACAATGTTGAATTTAATGAAAAACTAGATATAAGGTTATTTTCTTTTGTGTCTAAAATACATATAGAATAATATGTTAGAAATATAGGTTGAGATCAAAAGGGAGTGAATTGATCTTTTACAAAAAATTTTGCAACTTACAAATACAGATTAACAATTTCAAATATTAAGAAAGTTTATCCAAGTATTAAACCAAGAAAACTACACAAAATCGAATAAGGTTCAAGCTGAATTAAAGAAGGTGATGGAAGAAGAGAAGAAACACCAAGAATTATACTAGTTCATCAAAACCACTGAGCTACATCCAGTTTTCAACCAAATTCCAGTTGAGTTCCACTAGATTGAATAGTTTAATTTACATAATCAAATTACAGACAATCCAATCTGGACCAAGAACCAAATTCCAGTTCTTGAACCCAACCTGCAACAAAATTCCAGCAGAACCAAACATGCACCAATAACCAAATTTTAGTTCTTGATCCTGCACCAAAAACCAAATTTCAGTTGCAGAACCAGTACCCAAACTCCAGAAACCAAGACAATACAAAATAGAATTTAAAGAATAAAGAAACTAGAACAATCAAACTCGATTATCTAGATGCAGAAATCCCACTGCAAAATGAGTTTCTTCACAAGCAAGAATACAAAAATGCATCAAGAAGAACTTCAAAAATTCCCACTTGAAAATAATGTGCTTCTCTCTTGAAAATATCTTTATTGATTGCTTGAATGATTTCTAAAAGATGTGTTTTAAAACGTTGAAGCAAATCTATTTATATATAGATTTCTTTAACAAACTGGTTTAATTAATCAGTTAATTCGTGTTTTAATCGATTAAAAAAATCTTGTTTCTAATTGTTTTAAATTCATGTTTTAATCGATTAAAAAATCTTATTTCTAATTGTTTTAACTGATGAAAATATCATTTAATCGATTAAAATGTTCTATAACACTTTTCGAAATATTTTAACTGATAAAAACGTAGTTTAATCGATTAAAACAGTTATACAAAAGTCTTTAAGTGATTTTAACCGATTAATTCGTATTTTAATCGATTGAAATACTAACAAAACATTTTTACACCTATTTTAAGTGGTTTTAATAAATTAAAATGAATATGTATCGACTAAAACTGTGACAAAACATGTTTTCACTTATTTTAAGTGGTTTTAATCGATTAATTTGAATATGTATCGATTAAAACTGCAACAAAACATGTTTACACTTATTTTACGTGATTTTAATATATTATTTCAAAAATACATCGGTTAAAAATGTGTTAGAAGTGTTTTTAGCTGATTTTAATCGATTAATCTGTAAATATATCAGTTAAATTCAAGACTTAAGAGCATATTAACCGATTAAAAGAATTTTTAACAGATTAAAAAAATATAGAGGCATTTTTATCTCTTTCAAATGATAGAACCTCATGTTGTAGAAATGGATAGATGATTATACCTACTTATATTGATGTAGACTCACTAAACATTATTACATCCCTTAACCCATAAATCATCTGACTTCATCAAATCTTCCCTTATTCCTTAAATTCTTTGACTTCATCAAATCTTCAAGATTTTCAATCATCTTCATAATATATTTATAATTAAAAGTCATACAAGTAAATATAAATATATATATATATATATATATATATATATATATATATTGTGATTAATAATATCTAAAATATCTAACACTCTCTCTGAAGCTGATGAATATAAATCATATGTACCAAGTTTGTTACAAATATAATCAATTTTAGGTCTCTGTAAAGACTTGGTGAAAATATCTGTTAACTGTTCACTTGAGTTAATACACTCAGTTTTAATGTCTCCAGATGTTGATTGTTAGTTTTTTTACCATTGTAGAATATCTATATATTATGTAAAATCAAAATCTAATGTTGGCTAATCCAAATATACATTAAATTTGTTTCTTCATATAGCTTGGAGCTTGTATATTTTAATTCCTATGATAAATAAATTAAAAATTAAAAATATTAATTGAAATTTTATAAAAAAAATAACTTAAACCAAACTAAATAACTTACATAAAAGAGATTTGGTTTCGATAATAAAATATCAATATGCTTACAATTCAAAACATTTAAAATTGAATATTTGCTACAATATTGGGAAAAAAAAACATATTACTTTTATTTTCTCTCCAACTTTACTTACCAATTAAGCGGATCAATTCTTTCATAATAAAGTCTTAATGTTTCAAATTTCATCCTTAGGTCTAAAATTGCAGGATATATAGCACAACATTATATTCATCCCATGTTTATCAAAATTCATCTTATCCTTTCAATCATATCCCTAACATATTGGAAATAGGACAAATTGTAGGAGAAATTAAAATTGTTATGTTATAAAATGACAATAATAAAACATAAATCTTTTCTGCTCTTTTTCATTATTCTTCAAAAGGACAATACTTGTAATTTTCATCAATTATTTGTAAGTTTTCAAAAACACATTAATATTGTAGAATACTTTGAAACATCAAATAAGTTGAGTTCCACCTTATAGAAACATCCAAACACAACCCACTTAAAATATCAATGTCACCAAATTCTTGAAGACATTGTTTGAATTTAATCATTCTACTCTCTAAATCCATAATATATTTGATACTCTCCCTATGCATTATTTAGAATCTTCAAGTCTTCTTAAACCATCAAATTAAAGATGTGTGCACAACAAAGCACATGAAAGAATTCACTATCACTTATCAACTAATTATATAAAACAAGTTGATTTTTTAATATTTTTTGCAAAACATCATTGCTAAAAGTATTATCGAAAATAATAGTTTTTTTTTTCTATTTCCCATCAAGCAAAAATTCATTTATCTTCTTAAACAATTAAAATCCAATATGAGATGGAAGAAAATGACAAAAAATAAGAATCTTTGTTTCTTAACTTTCAATGGAGATTAAGTTAATGGTTAGGAAACTTACATAGCTTTCAATAGTACAAAATATCTATGATTTAGAAGTTAAGTAAATCTTACTACAAATGGTAGTCAATTATTCTTAATTATGTTCTTTTCTTCTATAAATATTCTCAATATATCACTCTTAACAATATACCTAGAAATTGGTGTTGTATCAAGATTTAAAAAACTTAAACTTTAGATAACAAATTTGAAAGGTAAACCACCTTGAATTGTTAAATTAGTACACAATTCATGGATATCATTTGATTTTTTATTTTTTTTACTTTAACTTTCTTTATGTGTCTAAATTCATTTTACCCACATCTTTATATTTACTCTTATCACATTTTTCAATATAACATTTTAAGTTAGAAGTTTCATATTTCTTGCCAGCAATTACATATTTTGTGTTACAATTTACATATTGTTCTTTCTTTTCCATCCTTACATATACTAATCTTATTGAAAAAATTTTGACAATAAGATGTTGTAAACTTAATCTCATTCTAATTTCATGTTCATGATTCTGATTGAATTATCCATTTATATTAATGTCCAATTCTATTTAAAATTTAAAAAATCAATATTTGTTCTTAATGAAAGATTTCAATCAAAGTAGAATATAAGTATACTATATTTTTCTATCAAAGTAAATTATTGAAAAATACAATAATAAATGAGTCCTAAAAGAAAAAAATCCTAAGAGAGAAGAAATGAAAATTTATACAATAATAAATTTGAGATCAATAGCAAGTGAAGAGAAGAGGAGCATATGATTGAGAAAAGATATTGTTTTGAGTGAGTGAGACTTATTGATTCCTCTTTTTACACATTATAATACAATTCCCTAATTTTTGCCTACTTATGTTGTCTTTTATATTCTAATCAAAGTACATTTTTTATTAGACAAGTGTAAGTTGGCCAAAAAATTGATGTACTTTGTACAGTGGATCAAAGCAAATTGATAGGCTAAAAATGTCAACTTGTTTCATCATATTCATAATGAGCTAGTAAACCAAGTCAACCACAACACTTGACCCATTTTCTAGTCCCTTAACCAAAGAGGGTTTTATATCCATGGTAAGCTTGAGTGTGAAACTTTACTTATAATGAGGATAATAATAATTGTTACAAGTAGAGTTTTCACAATTTGATTCTAATTTAATGTAAAAATTAAACCTTTAAACTAATTTCACAATTTGTTTTGAATTCATTGTGTAATTTTTATCACTATTTCAAAATTGTAATTTACGATAATTATAACATAATATTTATTATTTTTCTTTTTTTATAAAAAATATTATTATTAATAAATTTATTATATTATAAAAATATTATTTTATTAAATTCAATTAAATCTAGTAGAATAGTGACCAATTCAATTTTAAAAATATTGGCTTTTATTACTGTAAATTATTAAAGAATTTTTATATAAAATTAATAAAATATTTACAAAAATTATTAAATATTTTATAATAAAAATATCAAATAAAAAAAACATTATATAAATTGTTTGATTATAATTACATTCATAATTTAATTTTTCTCATATTTATAAATAAATTATATAGTTATATAATTAAAAATTATAATTCAAAATGATAATATTTTTTAATAACTATACATATATTATAAATAAAATATAATTAAACTAAAAAACATCATATTTATTAATTTATCGTTAACTCTAAATATTTAGTATTATATATAAATATAATAAATGGTTTTCTTGATTTTAAATTTTTAGTCTAAAATTCGAACCATAGGAAATAATAAATAATAAAAACTATTTTAAATTAAACTTTGGTCAATTTTTATATTTTTTAACCGATTTTCAGTGTTTTTTCTATAACGTTTGATTTTGAACACCTAGGTTAATGTTAGTTTAAGAATTGTAGAAGGAATATTACATTAATACTACCCGTAAATGGCACCACTCTAATTAGAATGACAGTTATATTTCTGAAAAAATAATATTAATAATAATTCCGGATGATAAATTTTTAAGTCATTCATTATTCTAAAACTTAAAAAAAATTAATATATTTGAGAATTTTAATATGGAATTTTCAAAAAATATTATATATTTCACATCCATCAATACAATTTTTTCTTTCTGGACCCATGAATTCGGATACTCCAAATTAGTTTCTATCATTTTCTTGAAAGACACAAGGTAATATTATTTTTTGTGGTAAGTATAATAGTGCAAGAAAAAAACTATAAAGGTGGAGGAAGAAAGATCTTATCCAACGGGCTAATGGATTTCGCCAAACTAAACTCAACCCAACCCGTATTTGCCATGTTATTTATTAACAATCAAATAATACGAGATTTGAACATTAATCATCTTATAAACTATCCACCCAACTTGAATGAATTAAAATATAAAACATTATAATAATATGTCATTATCATCTAAATTGGTAGGTTAAGGATTAAATATGGACCTTCTGTTTATGCACTCAAGTAATATAGTAGTTTGATTATTTAATATTTCCTTGAGTAAACTTAATCTATAACTTATTAAATAAGTGTTTATGATATAAATTATTTTCTTAAATTGTCCTATAGAACTTGCTGAAACAAGTTACCCTATATCACAACAAATTCAACACACTTACGTCATAAAATAAATCTAAATAAAATCTTTCAAATATATCAATGTGTGTTCCAGAGCTTGAACCCAAAAAACATGTAGGGCATAACACATACCGGTGTCGCATTTATTATGGTTTATACAAGGTTAGTTCATGCTTTTGCACTGAGTAGACATGCCGCTATTATGATATACTAAATTAAGGAAATGAATCATAATAGAACTACTGTTAATAATTAAATAATGGGATGAAAAAAATTTCAGGTCGTAAAATGAATAATGAATCCTAAAAAATGAATTTTAAAAAAGGTTAATTTCTAGTTTGTCACAAATGATCTCTTTTTGTTTTCACGTTATACTATAATACTCTAAATCAACCCATACCACTCAAGGATTGCATAAGTTAACTTTCATAATGGCAATGTTTAAGGTAATAATAACCTATTAACCAGAACAAAATGATTTGGAAAACATAAAAATCACCAAAGCATTTACATGTAAGGAGAAAAATCATTTACATTTGCAATGGATAGATAGAAAACCAGAACAGATACCTAAGTTGATAGAAATACTACTAAATTTTCGGCAGGGCTCAAGCAACCTGGTTAATTGGTATGCACTAGTTGAGTTCAAGGCTAACTTAGTACTGATGAACATAATGGGGAGGAGAGGGAGGACGGTACTGGTAGTAATAACCTGGTGGATACACATTATATTGAGGTGGAGTGTGTTCAGGGACATGATGTGGTGGGGATGGTTCTTGCAAATGATGGGGTTGGGATGGTTCCTGCAAATGATGGGGTGGGGATGGTATATGCAAATGATGGGGCGGAGATGGTATATGCAAATGATGGGATGGGAATGATTGATGCAGATGATGGGGTGGGGAGGGTGAACTAGGCTCACTTGATGGTGAACTAGCAACATGAGTTTGGTGTTTATCTACTCTGACTTCAACCAATTCCTCTTCAACCTCAAATGACCTGAAGATTGGATGCAAGTAAGCATCAGCCAAATAAGCCTTTATGTTTAAGTCAGGTTCTGTGCTCTTCTCCAATAAATCCTTTGACATTGCTTCCTGAATAGATTAAGAGAAATCAGTTTCCCATACAACCATCATCAACCATGAGAAATCACATAACATATAGCCAACTCAAAGGAAAACAAAAGGAAGTTAAGTTTAGAGAAATCTACACTATTGTTACCCCTTCTAAGTAGACAATTTGGAATATTGGCTTATTGCATGGTGCATATCTTACCTCAATCGGGTACTTCCTAAATGCTGGCTCAAAACGCCTCTGGCAGTACTTGTGGAATGCGTATGTCAATATTGGTAATATAACAAGCAAAGGTGTGGATTTAGCTGCCTTTTTGGTGCTAAGCAGACCCAACAGAAGAAACTGGGATATTAGCAAGCTTGCGATGATGCGGCTATGAACAAGTGGCCAAAATGCAGCAGCACTTTCATACTGTTGGTTGTAGACATTGATTATCTGCATAATTAAACATCATGTAAAATTATATTTAGACTACATATCACCACACCCTGTTTCATTGAATTTGCAGACAAAAACGCTACAAGTTCATGCACAACACGCCCTCTTACATGCAACAAGCTTAAGAAATCTTCAGGCTATATCATGTTTATATAAGTCCACTCAGCAAAAAAAGGGAAGTTCTAAAATCACACTAGCAGAGAGCTGACCTGATGACGATAAACCAAATATGCAAAGGCAAAGAAGACTAGTATGAAGGGAAGAAGGATTGGTGTCACCACAGCATACACAATTCCAAGAAGGAAGTATAATTGAAGACTTGGAATAGTTTCTGGAAAGTCCACACTCCCAGGGTCCATGGCCTTTCCTCTATCTCTTTCTGTTTTAACTATGAACATGTTCTTGAGATGGTATATAACCAATGGCTTTAATCTGAGAATCTCACCAGCAATTCCAGCCCATCCATCAACCATTATATATGTCATAAAGAAGGTAGCCTTCATTGGAATGGAAACTCCAATCGTTCTAGGGATCCTATAGACAATAATAGAATCCACAGGATTATGTGTTTTTTTAACAATAGAAAATAAAATCCCCAAAGCAATGAAAAAAAGACAAAAAAAGATTTATCAAATGCAGTGTAAAATTCAATAATGTTGCAAAAAGGCTATGGTATTTATTGCATTAAATATATGAAACCGGTATGTTGATGCAATATTAGAGCAAATCTAAATACAATATATAGCCAGTCTGATATTGTTTCAACTCAAAACTGCTTAATTAAAGACATACTGTGTCGGTGACTGGTGAAGGAAAGAATGCAGTTGTTCAAATGCAGTCCCAGTCACTATGCTTCCCAAGAAAACATTCACCAGCATAAAGTAATAATATTTTGCAGCTGTCTTCCGTTCAAGTGTTGACAATGCAATAAATCCCTCAATTTTTGACATGATCATCAGAACTGCCGGTAGAATGTACAAAAACATTTTAAGAGCCAAACCAGGAAGAAAACCTTGTAGAAAGGACTTGATGAATTTCCTGCCAAAAGCCAAAAAACCTCTGTCAAGTTAACTATGATAAATTTGAGTTTGAAAGAAGCAGATTATCAAGTTGTCAACTCCAAGCATGATTACAACTTTGCAAAGCCAATAACTTCAAATGTTAAACTGAACCTAATATAAACATTGATATAATTGAATACTAAATTCATCTGAATCCTACACGTGCATTAGGATTTTGGAGCGCTATGGAAAATGAAGGAGGCAAAATAAGATTGAGAATTACGATTGAATCAAGATAATAGTTGGAAAGAAATAAGTATATTTCAGCAAGTGATGTTTACAGTATACAATATATTTTAATTTTACAGCAACACACAGATATGAAGTTTTAAAGAGAGAAAAAAATGAAGAAAATAGTGTATAAAAAAGATGTATTGATTAATAAAACCAAATAAGATAAGTTAACCTTTTTAGTAATTGCTAAAATAGAAGATAATGAATATCTGCTTTGCACTACAGATCAAATAGTCAATTTCAATGCCTTCAAGACAATATATACATCATTATTCCTGGGAATCCTGATTAATTTAAAAAAAAATAAACTTAATAAATCAAGATTGAGCATTATATATCCTACCATAGAAGCTAAAACAGTGCATGATGAAATTCTAGAACAATATTCATCAAGTTCTAGAGTAATTACCTTCTCTATTTATATTCAAAAACAAATTTAAGTTACTTACAATTCTATAACTGGTCTGAGAAAAGGAGCAACTCTTTCAAGACCCTCCAAATTGGCAAGGGATTGCACAAATGCAATGGGAATCATGTAGAAGAATACCAAGGCAAACACAGACAATGATATTATAAGCTTCCGGATGCTTAAAGAAACAAATGGTATGGCCAAGTTCCGCCAATATACATCACGTGGCTCTGGAGCCCAATCAGTTAGCCAGAGTGTTGGATTCTTGCTTTGTTGGGTTTGCGCACAAACCGATGCCCCCCAACGGGAATTGAATGAAATAAAAGCAACTGGCAAAATAGCTTTGGGATCTTTTATAATTTTCTGGCGTTCCAATGTCATCTGCATATGATACAAATAATCGAAGCATGTATTAGCATAATGACACAGAAAATTACCATACAAAGTTTTAATAAAGGGATATAACTTTATAGAAGGAATATGTCAGAGAAAAGAGAAACAATCACAACTTACCAGCTTATCAAGTTCCGTAATTGCATGCTTGTAGTACTCAACAGCATCAACTTTCCCACCCCAAAGACCTAAAAATCCATTCTAAAAATGAGAAAAATAACAATGTCAGATTCAGGGTCCAAACAGGGTATTAGTCACATATTGTACTGCTTACATTCCAAGTAATTACATACCCTGACTGTGGGCCTCTTATCAGGATGTCTCTCGAACTTAAGTTGGTAATAGTCCAGCCAATTTTGAAGTCTATCTCTTCTTTTCGCATATTTAGCAAATTTGTTCGCATTGTAGACAGCCTAAAGAAAAATTAATGCATAATAATATTAATCATTTAATGTAAAGAAATATTATGTTGAGTTTAAATAAATCAACATTAACACCATATATAAATTCCCTGATCAGTTTATCTTTAATAAAATTCTCCAATCAAGAATGTGATAAAATTATTACCTGTTGTCCAATATAATGGTTTGGGTGGTTTGTTTGAAAGAAGCCATCCACAGAATCTGATACTGAGTGACCAGGCATATGAGGGATATTCCTGACAACTACCTGCAACAAGAATGTACAACGTGAAAATTTGAAAGATGGTTAAAGAACATTAGAGGGGGGAAAGCCTTCATTGGAGTGACAATTCAAGCTGAAAAGTATTCTATTATAAAACCGTAGCATTTATGTTATAAGAGTTCGGCATAGGTCATAGCATCAATCCCATGCATGGCTGGCTACATACGTTATTCAAATACCAAGAACGGGCTCAAAGCTAGAAACTGAAAATTAGCTCCTTGTGAAGAAGTACAAGGAATCATGGCTAGAGTTGCATCTTCTCCATGGCCTTACTCTCACAAGCCTAATGAAGGACTCAGGAAATGAGAGTAATTCTATTTACAGATTGACCAAGAGTACTTGGTAATTTTTTAAGCAGCATTAACAATATAACAATGGGCCCAATGATTTATTTGCTAACTCGTGAAAAACAAACTGATCAAATGAACAATTCAAGCCTTACCAATACACACACAAAAAAAGGGAACAGACAATTCACTGCAATTAAAAAAATGCTGAGGACTGAGGAGCTCCAAGAAATGCTTTCTACCAATGAGACACAATCTTAATTTTATTCTAATATGTTGAAATGAATAAAGATTTTCAACTTACTGTGAATTGCTCCACACGCCTGCGTTGTGATGCCATGAAATGCAATCTCATTGATGCTACATTATCATATTCTTTGTACAGAAGAAAACAAATCCATATTGTGAACAGGTATTCCAATGCTATGTGAACAAAAAATCTGAAATTTATAATTCCAGCTGTTAGCCAACTGATAAATGTGGTAACACAAACATATTATCATGAAAATGTAATGTAATTGGCAATACACACAAAAATAAACAATACAATATTTAACCATGGGTGATACGGGTTGTTCATGTCATGAGAAGAAAACACCAAACTTGGACCACAGGCGAAGCATTCATAAAATGAACCTTCTGAATCATTTGTTTCATTTTTATTTTTTTTTCGGGGGGTCAAAGGAAAACACAAACATACCTTATAGATTTAGGTGGAACATTTGATATTGAGAGTTTATCAATATCACTCACTACCAATTCCCTTTTTAGGAAAAATAATGTCCCACTTGATACGTTTACTGGTATAAGAATGAGGAGTGCCACAACTGTGATTGGAACAAAAATCTTTAAGCTGAAAAAAAAAAGAGATAAAAAATAGTCAGATTACGGGTAACGCAGTACAGTAATTTCAACATTAACCCAAAGTTGAAAAGGAGACGCTCATCTCTCTTTTCACGATCTCAACGTCATGCTTCCCAAAGTTCACATCACACGATGATATTAAATATGAAAGACAGAAAAAGGTGTATCCCTCACATGCAACACAAAAAATTGACAGAAAACAGAAATAGAGGAAGCATAAGAAAAGTGGAAATCGTAGAAAATTGGACTACACCCCATAAGGTGAAGCTTCCACGGAAGAGATTTAACAAAGCGGGCAAAACCAAAAAGAAAGTTGAAAACCGCACGGCATAACTCTAGAATCTATTTGAAAACCAAAGGCATGGAAATACAAATATAACCAACAACCAAATGCTTAAAATTTTGAGAAGTAGAACAATTTTCCGAACATAGTTGCCGCACAACAACAATGCATCACATCAATTCCATAGCAAACAAAATCAAAATTCCCAGAAACACAACAGTATGTTAATTCTGTTCCTTTTTTTCTCCAATTATAAAATTAAATGTAAAAGAAACAGTCGATTACTCAATGTGACAAAAGTTTAAACCTTTTGCAGTAAAATGAAAAAAAAAAAGAATTGCAAGCATGGTGCCGCATAATAATCCATCACATCAATCACACAACAAACAGAATCACAATGCACAGAATTTAGTACATTAAATAAAAAAAATACAGAATATGCCTAAAAATAAAATCTTTTACGATGGATAAGAAAAAAAAATGGTAATTTTATTATGAGTAGAACTGAAAGCAGCGTGTGCTTGTTGAAAACAAACAACACAACAATGGAGTCAACCACAGACTAGAGAACTGTGTTCCATGTTTAAAGGAAAAGTGAAAGTTGATGTGAAGGGTGTAGAAGGAAAGAGGAGTACCCCAGAGTGTAGATTCTAAGGAAAGCAGCAGAGTCAAGGCCAGCATGGCTAATAATCTCAGACTCACTCATTCTGAGAGCCTGTGGCATCCAATTCAGGAAGGTAAGGTAAGTCCTGAAATTGAGGTTCACAAACTTGCCCACAAAATTCCCAGAATTCCTAGGACTCCTTCTCCCTCCGCTGAGATACCACTTGGGAAAGTAGACCCTATCATTGATGGGTTGGATCCTCAGCAGAGCAAAAGCCAGCAAGAAAGCAAAGGCTGAGAGAATGTTGATGGTAGCCGAGACACCAATGTCTGCAAGGGTGGCCATTGCAGAAACCAAGAGAGTATAGAGTGAGAGACAGAGAGAGAAGGTGGGGTGGAGAAGAGGAAGAGAATTGAATAGAAGAATTAGAAGGGAAGGAATAACTGATTCTTGATAACTCCAATTCTTTATTGCAAGGTAGAAATAAAAAAGCTGGGTTCTTTGCTGTTGTTTGACTTTATTGAGCATCAATTAATAAACTTCAATTAAAAAATATAAATATTGCAGTTGGGTTTTGTTTGATTGATGAGTAAGAGAGCACTTTGCAAGAGGGGGTTTCATGTGATAACGGGAAAGGATGAGCATTTAACAGTGTGGCATGCTGTGTTTTTTTGTTTTTTTTTTTTTTTTGTGTGTGTTAAGGATTTTCAATGTTTCATGGGTTTGGGTGGTGTTACCTCAGAAAGGAAGGACTGGCGATTTTCTTTCTATCATTCTGTTGTCTTGGTTTTGTGATTGTCTCTGTCTATGTCTCTATGATCATATGCATCAGATAAGTTAAATGAAAAGGCATAAAAAAAGAAAATTTAATTAAAGGGACTAATCTTTTTGCTTTCTTTTTTTTTTTACTTTAATTCGCTTTTTCCTCGCGGCGGGAAAGCTCTCTGTAATGATGTGAATCGCCATGTTCGCGGCAATGAATCGGCTTACGTTGTTTCAATACGCCAATACATGTCTATGTAACTTATTTAGGCTTAAAAACTATAAAATGTTTTCCAAATAATCTCCTATTATTTTGTTTAATTCAGGTTTTTTTATTCAGTAATATATGTTTGATGAAGAATGATAATATTTATCAGAAAAATAAAATTATTTGCGAATATTATATTAAATAGTTAATATAAAATTATGAAAATACAATTAATATTTGCTCTTTAAAAAAAATTAAGTTATTCACTGACATTTATTGAGAACTATGAACTTTGTGAGTTTCATGTGTTTATGTAATGAATCTCGCTCATAATTTGTGTGTTGTTGATTAATAATACCAATATATAAAAAAATAATTAGGATGTGTTGTAATCTAATTTTAAAATTATTAAATCGGGTAAATTTCTTTTAGTTTATGTTTGATTATAAGTAAATAAGGTGTGGAAAAAAAATGAAAGAATAAAATAAATAAATAAATAAAAAGTATTATCATTCGTCGAGAGAAAGGTTCATATTAACAAAAAAGTAAGTTATTATTTAAAAAAATAATAAATAATTTAATAAAATTTATTATATAATTAATAAATAATAAATGTCCATATAATTATTTTAATGAGATGAGAGATGGGTGGTTTTAAAAAAATATTATTTTCTTACTTCCTTTGTTAATTAATAAGTTATTTTGTTAACATTAATCGCTTTTAATTTTATAATTTTTTTAAAAATAAATTAACTTCATCTAGATGGTTAAGGTGATAATAAAGAATAATATTATAGAATTTGTACTTAATTATACTTTCAAAGTGAGTATTATTTATTGTAGTTTTCGTGAAAAAATAATTAGTTTTAATTCCTCTTAAGTTAAAATTTATTCTTTGTAGTCTTTATAAAATAAATGAATTTTGATTTAAATTTTAAAAAGTGCTTTTATTTTTATTTTTGTTTTTCATCTTTTCAATTTTGAAACCATTAATATTGTTTCTTGACATTTTTTTAATAGACAAATAATATATATTTTTTACATATTTTAAAAATTATGAAAAAGCGTTTGTTGATTTTAAATTACAACATTACTAAACAATACTTTTAATTATTATTTTAATTTTTTTCAACGTATAAATAATTAACGAGTATCACGTGATATTAAATATTAAAAAAATAATTTGTACTCTCAAAAAGATTAAAAATAAAAAAATTACATTATCAAAATCAAAACGTATAATATTAGACATACTTTATTATTTAATGTTTTTTTTAGTGATTTGAATATAAAATAATTATAAGTAATATTAAATACTTCTCATAATATAATCTCACATCATGAAATGAGTTTAAAAGCCCAATACTTTTATAAATAAATGAATTACAATACCTTTTAAAATTTTTATTAATGATACAGTCAACATTATTTAAGTACATACATGTGAAATTTATTATGGATTATATGAAGTAATTTTATATTTTTTTTTCACATAGTAATATAATTTTTATTTTATTCCAAACATTTATTTTAATATATTATATATAATATTTAAAAAAAATACTTACATTTAATATAATACAAATATTTTATTTAATTTTCATATATTATTAATTATTCTATTAAATTTTTAATCATTATAATTAGAAAATTTATTAGTTTGATATTACATTAATCACTTAGTGGTGTATATGTTTACATGTATGACACATTTTTGAAACATAAATATTTTTTAATTATACATATTTATTATTAATAATTATTTTTTATAAAATTAATTTTTTAAAAATTAATATCATTTACATTAATATATACATAAATTAATAGTTAAAGAATACAAAACTACCTATTTTCTATTAAAAACTTAACCAAGATAAATATTTTAACTAGGTTAAATATTTATCTATATAAAAATATATTTTATCCTATATTGAATCAATGAATTTTGTATATAGTAAATATTTAAATGATCTGTTTATTATATAGATAGCCATGAGTATTCCGTCAATCCATCATGTTAAATAATATTTCAATATTAATTAAAAAATAAAATTTATTTAAATAACATGTTATTCTATTTTAACAAAAACATTGTTTTGATTTATTACAAATATACCAGGACTTTGATGCCACCATGTTATACATATTTAAAATAGATTATACTATATGATTAATAAGTAAGTAATACTTTTCTAAATATAGGATTTTATTTTTTTATATATCTTTACTTATAATATAATATTGTTTTTATCAAACATATCAATATATAAAAATAATAGAAAAATAAATTAATATAATATATATATATATATATATAATAGAAATAAAATATAATAAATATGAAATAAATGAAAAAAGAATAATGATAAAATAAAACATATATGAACAGTTGATGTTTTAATGCCTGTATTTTTATTACAAGCTATAATAATAATAATAATAATAATAATAATAATAATAATAATAATAATAATAATAATAATAATAATAATGCACATTTAATATTTCACAAAATGAATGAACTATTTATTAAATGATATCAATAAAAAAATAATATTTGAAGCTGTGTTTTGGGATGCAGGAAGAGAGTGGTGACAGAGACCGTGATTGGCATAAAAATCGGCGACTGGGCTACTCTTAAAGTGTAGAATACATACAAATACAACATTAAAAATATACAAAAAGTTATTAGGTTTGGACCAGCAACCGTGTTTGTGTCTGGTATACATAGGATTTGGTTGTTGTTTAGGAGAATCTCACAACCCATGTGAGGAAGGATGTTATGTTACAATGCCTCTTAATTTACAAGTCATCAGAGGACCCTTTTTTTTAGGTCTCCACGTGATATCATGATTATTTTTTAATTAATTTCATAATATTTCAATGTTGAAATAATTATACTTCGTGTTATACATACATATATATTCATTGTAAATTCAGTGAGAGTTAAAAAATATAATTTTAATCAATTCTAAATATGTATTTAAATTATGCTTTAATTTTAAAAATGGACAAATATATTTAATTTAAAATGATTGAGGACTCCAATTAAAATTTTATAGAAATCAAATTTATACTTTAAATTATGTCATAAATCAAAATAAAATCGGAAAAACTGTGAAACATAAAATTATATATTTTGTAATTCAGACATAAATTTCATAACCTGTCTCCAATAATATTAATTTATACATGGTTTATATCAATTCCCTCCTTAATTTAATACATTTTTATATATAAAAATTAAATTTAGAACATCAAAATTCTTGAAAATGAATGAGTTTTGCTTTTTATTTTTGTATATATTTTTTTCAACCAATAAACTTTAACTAATAGTTTTTTTTCCCTAAAATATGATTTTTGGTTTTAATCATTGTAATTTTTCTTTATATTTTACATTTTTAAATATTTTGATATATGATATCTATTTAAGTTTTAAATAGATAAATAATATATATTCAAATTTATTTTTAACCTCATTACTTATCAATATTTTAGCACAACAGTAATAAATATTATTTGGAGAAATTACTTGACTTTTAATTTATAAATAATATCATATAATACTAGAAATAAAAATAATATATTTTATTTTCAAAGGAATAAAAACATAAAAAAATATTTTATTAGAATCAAAATAAAAATTAATAATTAATCAGAAATCTTATATACAACATAATAATAAAAAATGAAGAGAGCGAGTTATATTGCATGCAATGTGGTGTGAACCAAAAGTGAAGGTGAGCGACCCGTGACACCAAGAAACGATGGGTCTTATTCGTAGTAACACTGTTCCTTTGCATGCACTGCGCACAACAACACAACAACCAGTGACCACTGCACCGAGCCAAACCTAACGACAACTTCTTCAGCTATGCACCAATAAATTTGACTCTTTTTTTCAACCAATATTGTCCACAACCCAACGTATCCTCGATTTGCTATATTTGGACTCATTGATCCAGCTTTTCAAAAACTTGTACACACAGTTAAGAAATCTAAAGTCATATCACAATTAGATCTTCTTAAATAATAATTAGAAATCTTAATAACTTATTGTTATATACTGATTAACATTTTTAACAATAATATACGAGTTTCTAAGTCTATTTGGTTTTCTAATTTTCTACTTTATTTATTTTTTCTAATTAAATGTTAAGGACTAGGTGAAGAACTAAATTTTGAATTAAATTAAAATAAAACAAGCGTAGCAATCATTGATGTAAATAATGTTACTTCTATCTTCTTCTTATTTGTAAAAAATATGTTACTCTTATCACTATACTTTATTTGTATATCATTTCCAATTAAATTATTTTTCTAAAAAATTAACACTGATTTTGATATTTTAAAGCAACTATTTTTATCTTTATTGTATTCTATAACTATATATTTTTAAAATTTATGTGTGATATATTAATAATTTTGGTTTACATAGTTGATTACATTTCGTTTGAATTAATATTATATATATATGTATTAAAATTATTTTTTTAACATCATACAAAATAGAATGATTGTAATTTTAAATAAATAATTATTATGATTTATATTAAAAAAATTAATATAAAAATATTAATTATTATTTATGTATTTAAAAATTAATAAAATATATGCGAAAAAATATAATAAGTAATTAGTAAAAACATAGATATAAATGAAAAAAAAATCATTTTATTGTATTTTTAAATAAATAATTATATAAAAATTATGAACCCATAGTGCCTTAGTACCTATGCTTCTATTAATAAAAGATAATATAAATTAATTTTATCTTGAAATATTTATACAATAACAAATTATATATGTGTGCGTCACCGTGCCATTTTAAATAAGAATAAAAAAAACAATTTTTTAGTGGAGAATAAATTAATATTTATCATAATTATTTTATTGAGATAATTTAATTTGATTTTAAATATATTATTATTTTGTTAATTTTGATGGATTAACAATTTTAGTTTTTGCCTCTTATTTATTTATATATATATATATATATATATATAATATTTATAAAATATTTATAAAATATAAAATTAGTATTTTTAGTTTCACGTGAATTTGGTTTGAGTCTCTATAATTTTTTTATTTTTCTAAAACTTTAAATAATTATTTATAATTTATAATATTTTATTTTTTCAATAAATGAATAATTTATTTTATAAATTTTAAAGTATTTTTAAATTACTTATTGTAATAATAATAATAAGAAATATTTATGATTTTAATATCACACCATGCATCATCGTCGTCCACACATCAGAAAAATGATACCATTTGTTTATTGGAAAATGTTTGATGTACTTCCAAACACCCATCTAACATTCATTATTTCTTATTTTTTATTTAAATTTATAAATAATAAAATAATTTTATAATGAAGAAATTAAGAATGAGTGAAGTTAAATGGGTGGATTTTACTTTTTTGGATAATATATATGAATCAGTACTCATGATACCTCCCCTTATTCTTGAACTATCACTAACCTATTGTCCTATGCTAGAAAAAGGAAAAAGAGTAAAAAGTTTAAAGGTTATCTTAAATTATTATCATACAAATATTTGGGTTAGTTGCTCCATGTGAAATTATGTAAACAAATTTTGCATAATTTCAAAAGATAGCTTGAAAAATTAGATAATCCCTCCAAAGAAGAAACTCGTGGAAATGTGATAGACGCAACATAGAATAATTTAAATGAAAGTATTTGTATTAACAAGGTGTTTATAAGAGCCCATAATTTAATAAATTTAATAGTCAAAATTATGACTTAATTCTCACGTAACAAAATTTGTTTCATAACTTGCTTAACAAAAACTATTGTATCAAATATTTAGCCGATGTAATATTTTAACATTTTCATTACAATAAATTTGGGACACCTTTCTCAACAGAATTAGGAACTGTATTTTTAGTAGAGTGTTTACAACTCAATTTTTTTATTTAATTTTAAATATTTAAATATAAAACAAAATAAAATATATGATTGATTTTAATTTAATACAAAATTCAATCAAACTAAACTAACTTTCAAATCAAATTTTTTTATTTTATAATTATTTACATATTTAATAAATTAATAATAATGGTCAAATATATTTTTTATAGGATATATTAAATATACAATATAAATTGACTATGGTATTTTTAATAAATACAAATATATTATAATTACCATACAATTAGAATGTAAAATATTGTTAGTTATTAATTAATTTAAAATATAAATTTTAAAATTATTTAGTTTGATTCTCAATATTCAATATAGAGTTCAATAATTATGATAACTTAAATTCCTTAATAAATAACTTAAAAATATTTAAATTTGGGCTTTAATTTCTTGCTGGTCTTTCACGCGGGGGAATCGGACCAACCCATCAACATCTCCATCGCATACACCCAGAAAAACAAACCCAACTTTATAACTGGCCATTACTATTGCCACTTCCTGTTTAGCGTTTAAACTCTTCAACTTTCATTTATTTTATTTTTTTTGACAAAATTTTTTCTGCCAGACACAAGTTGTTGTTTGTGTTATTATTTTGAGAGAAATTAACACAACAAAAAGCAATTTTTTCCACACTGCAGAAACTTGTTTAAATTGACATAGGGTGTGAATTCAAAATTTTAATGAAATTGTTTTAAATATTTTAAAAAATTAATACAACAGAACAAATTTCTACTGTGTCATTTAAAAAAAAATATTAACATTATGGAAATAAGTTTTCATTATTTTATTCTTAAAAAAATAAATAAAAAAAGAAACCCTAAAATGTTTCCATGGGAGCTATTTATGACAAAGTATTGCAATAATATTTCTATTGGTTTGGGGTTTAAATAGTAAATTGGAAGTGAAAATAGCAGCACCCCCATGAAATTGTGTTATTTTATGGTACAAAAGAACAAAGTATATAATGTGTATTTATATTGGATGATTTGAATTAGAACTTTTCTGTTTTATCTCACTTTTAATTTTTAAGCTTGTGGCATGGTACTTCTGTTGTGCCTGTGCTGAGTTGTTATGCAGACAATACTGAAAATAAATCTTCTTTCAAGAAATAAGTATTAGTTTGATCTTAGGAATGAGTTGATTATCTCACAAACTTAGAAGTTTCATAGATATGAACAGGTTTAACACTTCAAATTTTGTAGCTCAAAGGGTAAGTACATGTCCGGAAGAAGAATTAACCTTAGATAAAAGAATGTGAACTTTTGGTCTAATCTCCAAAAAAATTATAGTTGTTAGACTTTGAAACTTAAGGTTCATGCTATTCTATGAAAGAGGGAACAACTTTTCCTGGTGCAAATAATTCTTTTTGGTCAGTGGAGAAGAAAGCTAACCTACAAAAAGTTACTTCCTTTTGATTTAAACCACAAACAAATGATAAAAAAGAAAAGAATATTCACCGTTATTAATATGTGTGATATGTGTGATGATGCAAGAGAAAGAGAAGCCAAATTGTCCCAATGTTGTTGTATCAACACAACTGAATTAATCTCAGCCTCGTTTTTTCTTCTCAGATAAGTACATACATAGATACATATAGTGTTTTCATTATCATCATGCAGAACAGCCTAATAGAAGACAAAATAACATGAAATACAGAGGAACTGTGGAAAACATGAAAGAAGAGAATGAATTTGAGAATTCAATGGCTGCCTTGTTCAATATGTGTATATATGGCAGGTTCGGTTCCTAAGCTTTTCCAGCTACTGGAGTCTCAACCTTGCTGACTATTATCTGTTCATATAGATCTCTTATCTTCAAACCAACTATGGTTTGGAAGAGACCTGTCCCATTGTTGCTGCCGGGGAAATCAGCATGCTTCAACATCTGTTGAGTAACCTCTCCATAGAACTTGGTAGAGAGGTTGCTTAGGTGGCTCTCAACGTATATTAATTCATCTAATCTGTCAAATTGTCCATCCATTTCTACAACTGACACCTGTTGCACACAATGAAAACAAAACCAACAAAAATATAACTTAAATGACTTGAACCTATTTATAAATACCTCACCATGCATGCAAGAAAATCTCAAATTGGGTGTGGAAAAGCTTGTATATTGAACCAGCTTATTAGATTTTGAATACCACTTTTCTTTGTTTTAAACATTCCGTAGCCTTTTTGAATATTCTATTAGTTAATAGTATCTGGTGAACTTTGTTGAAATTAGTTAATAGTATCTGGTGAACTTTGTTGAAATTGTGAAGTTAACTAAGCATTTAATTAAGACAGATTTGACAATCTTATGGCATATATTTATAATTAAAATAGTTGATAGAAGTCATAATTTTACCAGTACGTTGTCAATAGACAAAACTTATATCCAACTCTTTAGATATTTTTAAACAGTTTTCTAATTGAAGTTAAAGCTTTACTCTAGAAAATTTGTCAACCTTTGTTTTACATATTATGAAGATAAATTTTCACTTTTAATTAGAAAAGAGTTCCAAAACAAAAAGTTTCAAGTTTTTGAATGTGTACCAAAAGGGATTTACCAAGCCAAAGAAATATGAGATGGAGTAGTTGGTACCTCATTTCCGTAGTAAGTCTCTGGTCCATAGAAGAATTTGATTCCAGGGTAGGAGCATGTAAGCTTTCTTCCACATGGTATCCATGAAATGGTGGAGCCATCATCAAACAAGTAAACTGGGCTGAAGTACTTAACACCCTCTTTCTGTATCAACCTCACTCTTAAAATCTTACCCTCATTGTCATCTGGAATGAGTTGAGTTGGCAACACTTCTATAACTGCATCTGCATATTGCTTTTGTGGGTCTGTGAACAACAAGAGCAGAGGTTAACTTATACATCACCATTAAAAATAAGCATTGACACAATTACTGAGTATGAAAAGAGAAGTTCAAGCTGAAAGACAGTGTTACCAATAAATGCTTCAAAATCAGGCTTTCTTGCTTCAATGCTAGCCTTGATGCTTTCAAGACTATGTCCACGCTCTGCCATGTCTCTCTAAAATATTTGCCAAATAATCGTTTAGTTCATTGTAATGGAAAGAATAAGAAACCTGTTGAGTAATTATTATGTGTTTAATTACCTGAATTTTCCAAGCGAATTTCACCTCATTGCTAATGTCTAGGTAGATGCTAAAGTCCAAGAGGTCTCTCACTCGGGAATCAAACCTGCATGCAAAAAAGAGTATCATACTCACAATCAAATAAACTGATAAGAGTCAACTAGTTTCAAATAAAACATTATTTACTTTTATTAGATTTGAGTAAAGTTTAAAATATAAGTAACTTTTTTCTAATGTAAGTGTTAACACAAGGCATATACATTTTTTTATAATCTTTCCTAAAAAAAAAGATAAATAGAAGAATAAACAGATAAAAATATAAGAAGATGATTAATTTATATGGAAAAAAGTGTTTTACAATGAAATATTATATGACTAGGGAGAGAAACATGTGGAACTTGTAATAAAAGATGAAAAGGGAAAAGGAGAGAAACATTTTATTACAATGATTATGAAACTTGGCCATGTTAACGCAAAGGGTCAGTACTAATAGTCATGTATTCAGTTTAGACATAGAAAGTTTAATTAATCCATTATTTTATTTCCCTTTGATGTAAACTGCAAATATATAATAATAGTATTTTTTTTCTTTTTCACGAAAAGAAAGTGAAAAATGTAATATTCCATGCATTAAGAAGGAGAAAATAAATAATAAAAAAGTAAGGAAAAATAAGTGTAAGTCAAAATCCATCTAAATATTTTATAAGCCTGATTCAGAACAATGAAAGTATCGAAGTCAAGAAGATTTTGTGCCCCCATGAGTTGAATCATAAATATATGGATCTAAGTTAATAGAGAAACAGTGAACAGTATCAAAAAAGAGAAACAGTGGATCCATGTTGGCCCACCATACATGGGACGGTTGGAAAGTCACTAGCAAATTCCTCAGCCATACAATCAAGGAAAGATAGATAAGGTATATCAGCTTAACGACTCGTGTCACATTTAATTCCACACTTCAACCCCTTTGAAAAAAAGTTAGAGAATTTCAAACACCCGTAACATCCCCACCTTGATCCTGCTTCTGAAGATTCACCAAGCAATACAATTATCCATTAATTATGTTGCAATTCAAACACTAAGAAACATTAGTTTAGTGAAATGCTCCTGACGAGATTAGTTTACAGTGAGAAAGTGAGATATGTATATACTACTTACATTGGGTGCAAACCTTCAATGACCAAGATTTTGGGAGGTTTAATGAGCTCAGGGGGATCCAAGAGACCAGTGACATGGTTGTAGATTGGCTTTTCAACAGAAATTCCATCCTTGAGAGCTTTAACTTGCTCATACATGAGATCAAAATCATTGGCTCTTGGGTCAAGGGCAGTGACTCCCTTCTCCTTTCTGCCAGTTCTATCCAGTGAGTGGTAATCATCCAAGCATATGACTGTGGTGGTGTCACTGATGAGAGTGTTGGAATCAGGGTTCCCACCCTTTGGTGGTTCTGCTGCTCCTCCAAACACACTGGTCAGCCTTCTCATGAAAGTACTTTTCCCACACCCTGAGTCAGCAGCCAGACCAATCACTACTGTCTGTTGGTCACCTGCTGCACATGTTATCACATAGCTTCTGCCACTGTTGCTGCCCCTCTTGCTGTTCCTCCTACTCGTGGTGTAGAATACTACCTGCTTTTGGTGAAAACTCAATTGTGTTTTTGATGGTGTTGAGATGGAGCAATTTGTGCTCAGAGATTGTGTTGAGTACACAGTGCAAGCTGCCATTCTCTCTCCCTCTAGAGAATTTTCAGAGAAGAGATGTTGAGGTGGCCTTTGTTTGAGGGTTATTAAGAAAGTTACGTTCCAAGAAGAAGTTTGGAACACATAATATATGAGGTGGAATTAAAACCAAAACAAAAGGCAGTTAAGCAGGAAAAGAAAATGGTGTCTTCTTGTTTGAGTTTCTGTGACTACCCCTTGTTTTGTCCAAGCTTTGAGATAATTTGAATGATATAAAAGGCAGTGCTGTATCAAAATCAATCAGCAGCAAAAGGGTATAGGAGTAATTTTATATTTTTCCCATAAGCAAATAATATACTAGCACAAAAGCAACACCAGATATTTTTCCATTATCTGAGTTATTAAAAAAATGAAGAATTTGATGACATACGTGAATAAACCAACATGGAAACCTGGTTGAGCTCAGTGGTTAGTGCAGCTTGGATATTTGACATGACAGGTGGCATGAATTTGGTGGCTCTTTGAAGATGAGGGATTAGGGGTGAGGAGTGAAGTAGATTTCCTAGAGGAGAGTATGCCATCAAATTCTATCTTGGTCTCTTGGTCTCTACTAGTCCTTGTGTGTGTGTGTGTGTAAATGTCTCCTTTTCCCTTTCTTATTTTATTGATCAGTAAGAGTGAATGTGAACCATTCCTATTAAAACATGAAGGACCATGATTGATCAAGGACCACACTTTTCTTCCTTTCATCAGTCTCACTGTAAGATGTGGTTAGTTAGGTGGTGTGGTAACCAAAGCATGTGATATGAAACCGCAAAACGTGAAATTTAGTATGATACCCATTTTGAGAACCACATTGTCAAATAAATATACTGCTAACAGTGAAGGTATGATCTATCTTTGATCTATGTAATATGTGTTTTTCGGGTTTCTGCTAAAGTCACCTCGTGCCCATTGTCTCTATCACAGAGTGGTAGGCTTTTTTACCCCTTAGATAAATTCGTGTTAGGTAGTACCAGTTTAATAAAAAAAATTAACATTGAACTTATTACTTAGCACAATTTTTTTTTTAATTCAAACAACTAAACACGTGTTTAATAATATAATTTATTGTGCCACAATAGGTTTGATATAACCCATTTTAGTAAAATATTTAAATTTTTAGCCCCTTAGATAAATTCAATTTTTTTTACCTGTTTGATAAAAAAAAGGCCAGAGGTAACTTAGAAAATAATAAAAAAGTTATTACAATCACTTAATTGTTAGAAAAACAATAATAATAATAATAATAATAATAATAATAATAATCCCGATTTTGATTCTAACGATCAAACATAAACATAATCTCATACTCGATAAACATGTTGTAAGCTCGAATGTGAAAGCGTACTGAATGCGAAAGCGTACTGAATTAGCCATAACGATGATGTCTTTGTAGAACACTATATTGATCTTATGGTCTTCCACCTGAAGAACACCGTATTTCCTCTTGATTTTCTCTCTTGATGGGGATAGAAAGAAAGGAGCGGGGACCGATTACGTGTGTGTCTTCCGGAAGGGGACCATGACCCTTTAGATAACCGGAATTAGGTTAATTACTTAAGTTTTAGTATTTCCAATTTGACCCCTCATCAAATTAGAAAATTGCTCTATGGTCTCTACACAATTTTATTTTCATGACATATGCCTTTAGCCAAAACTTTAATTTAGTCAGATCACTTTATTATTTGACTTAATAAATAATGACCCTAACACATTTAAATATGTATCATATATATACATGACCCAAAATTTGCCAACAATCTCCCACTGGTCACAAATATATATGTCTTTACAACCTTACAAATGTGTTAGACTTTATGAGCTCAAAATTGTCATTATATTCCTTTAGCATATTCCAAAAGTCATGTCCATTAATCATATCAGGATATAGAACCAAACCAGCTTTTCATTGCATCATCGCAACTAAAACCAACAAGATTACTCATCCTGACATAAGCAAATGACATGGATTCATCATGAAATGTGTAGCATGAAAAATTACGTGAAGGTGATCTGTACACGTCTATTTTCAACTGGTCCAAACTTTAACTTATCGAGATCGATACAATAACCTTAATGTACAAAGTGTAATGAATGAACAAGAAAACCGCATGTCTATAGATAACCAAATATGTCCAAAAAACAATGTATACATATATAAAATTAAACATAGAACATAAAATATATGAAAATGACTAACTCCCACTAAACCACAAATTCCTCAAACTGTAAAACACCCATGTGAGCAACATGCTCATGAAAGACCTTGGGCGGAAGTCCTTTAGTTAGAGGATATGCTATCATGGAGTTTGTCCTTAAGTGTTCTATGGAAATCTGTCCACTTTGTACTCTTTCCTTAACAATACAGGTGATTTATTGTCACAATATAACTTAAGTGGTCTTTCAATGCCTTTCACAATTTGCGTACTCGTGACAAAATTTCTTAGCCATATTCCATGATTTGATGTCTCATAGCATGCTACAAATTCTTGACATCCTGCAAAATATGAGTCAGAAAATCCAGCGATCTCCAACTGTCTGACCTCCTATATGTGAGCATATAATTTTTTGTTCTCTTTAAATATCTTATGACCCTTTTTGCTGCTTTTCAATGGTCTATTCCTGGATTGCTTAAATATCTGCCTAGAACCCCAACTATGTATGCTATGTCTAGACGCGTACATACTTTGGCATACATCAAACTCCCTACAGCTGATGCATAGGGAATCTTTTGCATTTCCTCAATTTCCAAATTCTCCTTTGGGCACTGATTGAGACTAAACTTGTCTCCCTTTAAACTTGTGATACACACAATTATCAACAATATTCATCTTGAAGTCAAATGAGTTTCATACCTTCTGGTAATGGGACAAGTTCCCAATAACCTTATTGTCTTGCATAGACTTATACTTCTCATTCATTGCTTCAATCTACTTTTGAGAGTTAGAACCTTGTATAGCTTGACGGAAGTTAACTGGATCATCTTCCATTATATCATTATTTTCCTCATGTTCCTGAAGAAATACCATGTAATCATCCGAAATAGCACTTCTTCTTTCTCTAGTGGATCTCTGCAAAGTTATTAGTTCATGATGCACATGTTCTTGAGGATCTTGAGTTTGTTCTTTATGAACAACCAAATCATCTTGAGTAAGGGGTTCATCAACAATGCCTTGTGGAGGTTCCGAACTTACTTTATCAAAAGTAACTATTTGAATCGGTTCGAAATTGTTACCGATTCTTCCTCCAAGATGAAGTTCTTAATCTTATTCTTCCCCCCAAACTCAATATCCTCAAAGAACGTAGCGAGTTCCAGTCTCAAAAATTGTCTTTAATGTGGGATCATAAAATTTATATCCCCTGGATCTTTCAAGCATAACTAATAAAATAACTACTTACCTGTTCAGGAGTCCAATTTGTTTTTCATTTGGCTTATAAGGCCTTGCCTCAGCTGGACAATCCCACACATGGAAATGCTTCAGACTAGGTCGTCGCCTGATCCAAAGCTCATAAGATGTTTTGGTAGTTGCTTTAGTTGGTACTCTGTTTAGAATATAAGTCCGTCGTATTTAGTGTCTCTCCCCAAAGTGATTCCAGGTAAGGTGTAATAACAAATCATACTCTCTACCATATCTTTAAGAGTATAACACAAGCTCAAACGTCACAATTTGATTGTGACCTGAACACTTGTGCCATAATGCACTTGAGTGAGTATTTTCAATTTTACGTTTAGTACCACATGATTCTGTATTAAGGGTTTCATTATAGGTGGCCACAATATCAAGTAAATACTGATTATCATAAATCAAAAGTGAACCAGTTTCAACAATATCTGAATTAAAAGACAAACTGAACTTATTGTTTCCAAATGAACATAAATAACCTAATTTGTCCAAATAAGAAACTGAAACCAAATTCCGTCTAAATGACGGCACACCAAAAGTGTCTTTCAAATCCAAATAAAAATCAGTACTTAATAACAATTTAAAATGCCCTATAGCTTCCACCTCTACCGATTTGCCATCTCCAACATAAATCCATCTTTCAGAATCAATTGGCTTCCGGTAGTTTAGGCAACCCTTTCTTTTCACGCCAAGCATGATATTTAGCACATTTCTTCTTTACGTGTCCAGTCTTATTGCAAAAGAAACATTTATTTTCTTGAGTTTGTTTCTTTTGTTCTGGACCCTTAGCACCTTCTGAAAGTTGTAAGATACCTTAAATTGATTAAACATTGCAGGAAGAGAAATCAACACCAAATGAATGAGCAAGTTTTCTGAGAGTTTAAGCTTTAGTGCCTTGAGTTGAAAAACAATATTAGACATGCTCATAATGTACTCCCTGATATTTCCTTTGCCTTGATATTTCATGGAGATCAAGTTCTGAAGAAGAGTGCTTGCCTCCACCTTATCACTTTTTGCAAAGCGCTGCTCAATTTCAGCAAGAAATTCTTTGACACTTGTGATGTTTTCAGAAATAGTGCCCCTAAACACCTCTGGGATGCCACACTTAATGATCATTAGACTCATGCGATTTGAGCGATCCCACTTCTCATAATCTCTTTTCTGTTCAGAGGTACTTGAATCCATAGGAGTAGGGGGTTGCTCAGTCCTTAACGCAAGATCCATATCCATGCAACCAAAAACAATATCAATGTTCTCTTTCCGAGTCCTTAAAATTTGTTCCATTGAGGACCGAACGAGAATTTAAATTGGCGAATACTAGAAGCAATTGTAAGTTGAATTTAGAACACGAGAAATAAACTAATTATGCTCACATTATATAAAAAATAAATAATATATATTCAAATAGTGGTTTAACCCATCTCAAGACACCCAATGCACCATCAATATCAAGTCTTTGGACAGGTAATATTAACTGCTAGAGGTATCTTGTTGTAATAACCAAACATTGACAAAAAAGCACGTCCAACAACAAACCAGTCTTTGGATTGATTTATCATCGACAAAGCAAATCCTTATAATTATCACATGTTTATCATTACAAGTGTGTATGCAATTCGGCCAAATGTTAATCTTCCTTTGGGTCGACTAATACTCGCATGGATATACACAAACACTAACATTCAATATTTTTCATGAACTGCCCAATTCAAAAGAAGTTACTTTGGTGACTTCTTGACTCAATTTGCTCACAAAAAATATTAAACTACCAAAAATTGAATATTTTATTTATATAACAAAACCAAATATTTAATATTTGCAAACTAATTCAAAAGAGAATTACCTCATTAGAATTCTACTAAGGATGAACACCTCCCTAAAATCTCATTAGGGATGAACACCTCATTTGAATAAATCAAAGGATGAAAAAAGGTCTCATTTTCCACCAATACATAAAGGATGAACATCTCCCTAAAATCACACTAGGGATGAAACAGAGATAGTTACGAGTCTCTTTAGCATACTTGCTCTAAACCCTAAAAGGGAATTAAACGAGTAATCACTCTAACCCTAATTTAACATCAAATTTTCCTTAAATTCCTAAGGGATAGAGACAATAAAATAATAACAGACCACACATGTGGAAACATTCATCATTTACCTAAGATTCTACGTGTTGGGAACTCCACAAACACCACCCCCAATTCCAAACTCATAAAATTAAATAAAAACAAAAGATTCAAAAAAGAACGAGAGAACCCAATACAAGAAAAATTGAAATATGAAACACTGTTTCTTTCTCAAGTAAAACTTGAAACTTAAACTCGAAACAAAAGGGAAAAACGAAGAAGAAGAAGAAGAATCCATAGCTTCCTCCACGGTTCCATCGACGAACCGGAATCAGATTGGGGATGTTACCCCCAAATTTAAATTTTAGGGTTCACAAAAATTAGAGATTATCCTCCACTTATGGTTCATAAAATTGGGTAATTTGAATTGTTTAAAACAAAATTAATCCTAATTTTCATAATTAGGGTTCTATAAATAAAACAGACATGAATCAAATATGGGCGGCTCTGATACCAATTGTTAGGATCGAGCGCTTACCACTAGGCTAAAAGCTATAGTCTTTAGTCAGAGCGCAACTCTTTTTACTTTAACAGCCAAAGCGCTACGATTCAATTGTGACTCGGCCCACTTGACCTTCGTCACAGGACAATTGATGCTACCTGCAACAATCTCCCCCTCAGCAATTGTCCTACAAGGTATCCCACTCTTGGATTGTGACTTGGCCCATCCGGCCTCCGCCACGGAACAATTGTGCAACCCGTAACAATCTCCCCCTCAACAATTGTCCACTAGGAATCGAACTCGTGACCTTGGCTCTGATACCAATTGTTAGAAAAACAATAATAATAATAATAATAATAATAATAATCCTGATTTTGATTCTAACGATCAAACATAAACATAATCCCATACTCGATAAACATGCTTGTAAACTGAATGTGAAAGCGTACCGAATGCGAAGCGTACTCGAATTAGCCATAACGATGATGTCTTTGTAGAACACTATATTGATCTTATGGTCTTCCACTGAAGAACACCTGTATTTCCTCTTGATTTTCTCTCTTGATGGGGATAGAAAGAAAGGAACGGGACTGATTACGTGTGTGTGCTCCCGAAGGGGACCATGACCCTTTAGATAACCGGAATTAGGTTAATTACTTAAGTTTTAGTATTTCCAATTTGGCCCCTCATCAAATTAGAAATTGTTCTATGGTCTCTACACAATTTTATTTTCATGACATATGCCTTTAGCCAAAACTTTAATTTAGTCAGATCACTTTATTATTTGGCTTAATAAATAATGACCCTAACACATTTAAATATGTATCATATATATACATGACCTAAAATTTGCCAACATTAATTTGTTAAAGAAACGAAATTATATAATTAATATTTTAAGGACATATCTAACGCGTAGAATTAAGACTAAAATTTAGAATTGTAATTTTAAATTAATTTTTAATTACTATAGGATTAGTCTAAGAGGGGTTTTCGGATTAGTGGAAACGAGAATTATATATATAATTTGAATCTAAAACTAATTGAGATATAAGTTATAGTTTAAGCAATGGAGCACTTCCTTGAGAATATGTATATAAAGAGGTGTTGGTGAGTTGCACACGGACGTCGAAATTTGCATGCTTTGGTTCTTTTACGACATTCCGGTCGAAGTCAAATTGGTTTACTCAAAATGAAGATATTATATATTAAGAAAGACTTTGGTGGCTGTTGTAGCACTAAATTAGAATTGAAGAGTTAGTGCTCAATTTTTACTTTTGGGTTGTTTACAATGCGAGGATTAGAATGATTGGAAGTTTTAAAGTACGTCACAGATTTAAAAACATTTTGGATGGATCTACGTACACTAAACCATTGGCGTTTACTTCCCAAGGAAAATGGTTTGAGCATATTGCCTTACCTCACATACTACGCAAGTTTGGTATGAGAAATAAAATTCAAATAGCATAAATAATTTAGACTTCCCAAAGAGAATACTATTGAATATTTAAATAAGTATTAATAAATTGGCAACATGCTTCTTCTTTATTATATTTGAATTGCCTTTACTTAAGTGGGGGAACGCCAACTCCCCAACTGCGATTCAAGGTGACAACGACACGTAGATTGAAGGGAAACGAAAATGTCTTTTTAACATAAATTTCAGTCAACAATTTTTTTAAAATTTTGAATTGCCTATAGCAAGGGGATATGTGATGCGTTAGTATTATTTTTCAATGAATATTAATATTTAAATATTATTCTTCAGCTATTCTTACATCCACAAGTACTCCATATTTTGTTTATCTCATTTTTAAATTAACCATACATTATATATTATTTATCTTTAACTGTAGATTCTTTTCATTCTTGATGAACCACCTTAAAAGATATTTAATTTTAAATTAATTACACAGATTAAGTTAGATTAAATCGGGTCGTTTTTAGTCAAATTCATCATTTAATCCAATCAAAATATTGTAGGTAAGATTAGATTGAGTTCTTGTGTTTCTATTTATTTATTTAACCTAATTCATTGGTTGAATCCAGTTAGGTGTGATAAACATGCTGCTATGATAACCTAATTTATTTGTGTGATGAATATGGCACAGTTTATCGATAGCTAGGTGTGATAAATATGCTGCTATGGTTCCAACTCCATGGTGTGCAATTGGTTTGCCATTGAAAAAAACGTGAAGCTATCCCAAACACACCATTAATGGTATGAACAGAAAAAGAGAGACTGCAATCACTTCAGCGATCTAATCGCTTCAAAAAGAAATAATCACGGTCAATTCATAATATGTGAGTGTTTTTTCCTTTTTTACTGGAGGGCTAGCTTTTTTATGGCGCATCGGAACTGCAATACTACAGTAATACTTCTCGGGAAATCAACTACTATCCGCCTATCGAAAGCAAATTCTCTTCTCGGAGGGAAATACATTACACAATATAGTACAAGCTAAACACTGGTCCAGTCACTACAAAGAACACAACCAATATCACACTAAGATATAGTATGGGAGAAATAAGAGGATAGACAAAAAAGAATATGCTAAGCCACACTGGGAAGTGACAGGCATTATAAAAGCCGTCGGATCAAAATCCTGAGAAGAGTCTCACTTGTGCCCCCGGAAATACATGTATATTTTCTGCAGACACAAACGAAAAGGAAACAACCATGTTAGAGACGTATTCTAAAATACTTTATGGGTAACTCAATGAAGCTGAGGAAAAACATGCAGGAAAATAATGGTTACTATTGTCTTTAGCTAAATATCAACAATAATTGGAATGCTAAGTTTTAATTGTTGGCATATTCCCAAGTTATAAAAGAGATCACAGTTAAAAAACAAATAAAAATTGCATCTTCCAATCCCCTTCCCTAATGACTCAAAACCAGACTAGACCAACAGTTCCCTGAACTGTGTTTTCGGTTTAACCACGGTTCACTCCTAGTTCAACCACCATGTTGAACTTTTTGAACCACAAAACAGAGCTTCACTATTTTGATTTTCCAGTTTTGTTTAAAGATATCCCCAAATCTTTTTTCTTTTTCCTCATTACCAAGACTTATGTGATGAAGATCTCTTTATATGACCAAATTATAATATTTAACGGAGATGTCTTACAAATTAGGACTGAAGACACGTCTGTTTAGAATTGAAAGTGTCGAAATTATAGATGTCTTACACTTACACTCCTGAGTTAGATGGTTCACAAATAAACTAAATAAACTGTATTTATTTAAGGCATTTTCTTTTTGCTTTACTGGCTATGGCATTGAAAATATGAAAAGCGATAAATCTTTTTACTGCTTATTAAGTTTACAAATCATAAAATAATTTGGGATGACAGAAGAAAAAAAAAATGAAGTCATTTTCGAATATATAGAGAGATAAAATTCTGAACCAGTCAAAACAGCTAAAATCAAAATTAATACTCCTTTCTCCGTCACCCCCCATACCCACCACCTACAAATCATACTGAACAAAGCCACAAACACACACCTAAGCAACCTGAAGAAAGCCATTCCAGTAATCTATTATCTATTTAGAAATAAAAAGTAAAGGCCCAAACTACGTTTTGTAAATTAATGAAATTAATTAAACACAATTTATATGAGTGATTAAATTAACAAGGTTTAATACTTATTTTATTCAATTGATAGTGTTGAAGAATTTAAAAAACATACAGTTAATTTTTTTTTATCACCATATTATGTAACATTTTTTATAGCATTGCTATATTTTATTATTGAATAAATAACTTCTAGTTATAATAGGTAATTCAATTTATTGGATATACTTTTATTAAAAAACAATTATAAATTATTTCTTCACTAACATATATATAAAAAAAATTAACCTAAATTGCCTGGTACAATACAAAGATCTCAATAATAATTTTCATTCATTTTTACATTGTAGGAGATTTGAGTAACATCTTCTGCTATTTGATAAAGTATTATAGACACAACCATGACAGTAACCAATACTAGGATATTGGTGATGATTTATTTGTTGGTATTGAAAGTAAGTTCACTTCTATTTCAACCAGTAACTTTTAGATAAATAATATAACTATATCGAAGATAAAAATATTTTAGTAAAAATATTTTAAAAAATTGATTCTATATTACAAAATATTTTTTTGTTATTTTGAAATTTAATATCTACATTTTAAGGAAAATATATTTATGCATAAATTAATCACATTAAGTGAAAATAAGTTTTTAGGTATTTGTTTGTAAATAAACCTTGAAAAGACAATACCGTCTTTCATTAATATTTGAGATTTTTTACCATCAAAACAAAATATTTGAGATTTTTATAACCACATCGAATTAGATTCTTATTTATTCCTATGACAGCATAAAAGAATTTATAAAATAATATACAAATAATTTACTTTTTCAACATAATTTAAATTATAGAAGACATAGTTCTATTTGTATTATAATTTTTGTATTATAATTTTAGTAAGAGTTTCTTTTCAAAATTACATGGGTAAATAGTTAATGAAAAATTGTTAAAAGTTCCAACATAAAATCAATTAGTTTTATACCATGCGACGGACAATGTAGGACTTTCAACACACTTTCTCTAACGATATCACATAAGGATGATAATTATACCCATACCCATCCCGAGTTTGACGGGAACTCGAATTGACCGAGGACGGATTCAGATTTTTTTTTCACTTTAAAAACTCGACCCCGCCCCAATTTTATATTTTAATTTTAATTTTAATATTTTAAAACTATTTTCTTTTTTTTCATTACATAAAAGAACATTTTTCTTTTGTATTTCACCATTTTAATTCTTTTGTTTTTAGTTCATTACATTATTCTCTTTCTCTTACTTTCCACTTTTTCACATTTCATTAATTTCTCCAATCAAATTTTTTTTTTTCAACCACTTTAATGAACAGTTAACTTTTCTTTTTCTTTATCTTTTTCTTATATAAATTTTAATAGCAACTAATATTATTTTATTTATAATTTATCTTTATTAAGTTTTATGTCATATTTTTTGAATCTTGTTATTCTTATTTGTCATATATTAAATTTTACCTTAAAAAATAATTGTATTTTGAAGAATTCATAATTTAAACTTTTATTACTTCGAGTTAATAAAAAAAAATTAACTTATATATTTCTTATAAACTATATATTCATATTTAAAAGAAAACTTAAAAAAAATTAACTTATATATATATATATATATATATCATTTGAATATAATAATATTATTATAATAATATTATTATTATAAATATTCAAATATTTAAATATTATAATAACAATAATAATATTATAAGTATTTTATATCTATATAAAGAAACAAATATTAAATATTTATTTTACATGTATATTTTAATATAAATATAATAAATTATAATATATTTAATTAATAACATTACAAATTGTAAAACTATAAATAAAACTTAATTTCTAACCTAATAGAGATTAGGGACAGAACGATTAAAGAAGTCAGGATAGGAGACGAAAAGGCAAAACCCACTGCTAGACCAACCAAAGGATATTTTTAATCATCAATCAACTTTTCATCCAAGCCAATAATTGAAGGATTTGATTATAATGATTCTAATATAAAATCAATTAGACAATAATCGAAGGATTTGATTATAATGATTCTAATATAAAATCAATTAGTAATACATGAAATAATCTAATAAGTATTAAAATCATACTGTATGATATGAAACATGGGATATGAGACTTCCAACAAAAATGTTTTTTATTACAAAATAGTTTTAACTTATTTCTGCACTAGTGTCAAAAATAAAAGAAAATGCGTGAATTCTTCAATGAAGTAAGAAATATTTCTCCGACAAATATAACAACAGCATTAATTCTTGAGTTACGAACCATTTATCAGCAAGACACTAATGTAGTATCAGTCACTGATATAAATCTCCATGGTTGATAAGTATTACATACAATGTACAAATAAATCATGTATTTGTTAATATAAATCATGTATGTGTTTTCTTCCTGATATGTATAGTCCTTTTTAGGTAAAACAGCACCTTTATTATTCTCATTCATAATATTCTTCACCTCACTTTCTTGTATACATTGAGAACATTAAAGTAAACTTTGATTAAAAGTTATATTAGATTAGTATATAGTAGTGATTTTTTTGAAAGTGATTTCACCTGTACTATTAATTGAATTTCACATTTAACATATATTTTACATTAAAAATATAGAGCAAATTAAAAAGGTAATTTTATATGCTAATTCAACATCAATAACTTTATAAAAGTAAATATTTTTTGTCTATGCAACAGTTGAATTGTAATTATTTAAAAAAGTGTCAAAATTGAACAATAAAATATTCAAATATTCAACAATTTAAAATATTTTAAAAAGTATATATTACAGCATAGTCTTGGATTCATATAAATTTTACTATACGTGTGAAGAAACTTTCAATTATAACAAGTTGAGGAGAAAATATTCAATAGCAGGTTATTAAATAGTGTAATAGTGTGTAAAAATTAAAAAGGTAGAATATGATGTTACTATTTATTTTACGATATTTTTGGCTACAGCTTTACACATTAAGAATGTATTTTTTTGGTAGGGAAACATTAACAATATCTACTACTTCATTTAACACTAATAAAATTTCTCTGAAATTTTGAGTAATTATCTTAGATTAAAAAATATGTGATCATGAACATGTATAACAATACAGCGGCATGTCTTAGTAAAATTCAACGTGACATTGGTACTAGTTCATCAACTATACTCCCTCCCATATAATGTTTATACGGGAGTAGTAGGCTGTCAGAACCACAGTCCAACCCAATCTCATCCATCAAATCAAATAAAAAAATTCAACATTCAGCCTAACATATACTTTAAATAAAAAATATATTTTTTAAATTTAAAATTATATTACTAAAACTAATTTTTATTTTAGATATAATAATTTGATATATAAATTAAAAGATAAGGGATTAATTTAACTTAAGAATAAAAATTAAAAACTTTTACCTTTTCATCCTTAGCTTATTCTGTAGCCTTCTAATAGTTCTAAACAAATATTTCAATTTAACTTTTACTCCTAACATAAGAATATTCATTCTCAAACTAATTAATATTATATATATATATATATATATATATATATATATATTAATAAAACAATAGTATTTTTATTTAAAAAATTATTATTATTTTATAAATCGAATCAATTTATAAATATCCAGACTGGATTAGTCCAGCCCAAGTCCATTAAAATTAACTTTGCTCAATTTAAGTCACGCTTCTTCTTTTTTTCCTTGACCTAACCTGTTTTTTTGGACTTTTTTAAACCGGTCCATTTGACCAAACCTATTTTAACACCTCATAGAGAGTACACCATAAATCACGTGAACACAAACAATAACATCAAACAAATAATCCATCTTCATAAAATTTTGATTAATATAAAATGAGAATTCAAATCAATTAAGATTTCCCTCACCTGAACTACCCATAAGCTTAGAAGAGACTCCAAGCAAAACATGCCGAATCCAATCAAATAGAATATCTGCAACAATACAAAACAAACATTGATTGCATTCAAACAAGTAAGCGCAGAGAAAAAGGATGCGAAACTTGATTAACCTACATCATAAGACCAGAAATTCAAAATGACAGAGGGATAGGAACAAATGAATGAATAAAAATGTTCCTAACCATCCTGCTCAATATTATTTGAAAAAAAAAAAAAAAACACTTAACACATCAGTTGAACCTTAGAAAATAAAATGCTTACGGCTCATTAATATTAAATTATGATTTTCTAAACCATAGAAAAAAAATTCGCCCACCAAGAAAATAATTGCTAATGTCTACATATCAACTTACCCCAACCAATACATGGTCTGAGAAGACATCAATTGCAGCAAGGATGCCCCTGCAATTTAAAATGAATTAATTCAAATGTACCTAAAAATGTATACATACGTCTATACTTTTAATACATTTACTTACACATACGACTGAGGAAAGGGGTGAACTAAGAAAACAGTACCAAATGGCATCCAACTACCTTTTAATAAATTTATGAAGAACTTGATAAACTTTAGAGCCCAGCAGGTTTTTTTTTCCTACCTCAATAAACATAAAAACACTGATGTTTCATTGCTTGCAAATAAATGCCTACATTATGGGGGAAAAAGTTATGTAAACCTCCATAAAACTTACAAGGATCCTATCATTTTCTTACTTACACTCATGTGCCTCATAAGGACATTTTTTTCCAAATAAGCTGAAAAAATAACTTCTGGTTTCAAAACATCCAATTTTAGCATACTTGCTCCCATCATACAAAGAAAAAGTCTATCACTAGTGCAAACCAGCACAGTCTAGAAACACGAGTTTTCAAAAAGTACATACCCCATAGCAACCAGATAAAGATTAAAAACCTTCATGAAATTCAAGTAAACTGTGCAATACAATATGTAGACTTACGTTAATGATTTTCCATGAAAAACAATTGGGGGCGCAATTGCAGCAAAGATGCAAAATGCAATATGAAGCTGCATGAAGCCAATGTAATAAGAGAATTAATATGAGACTAGCTTGGTAGTTTGAAGCCAGTATAATGTAATAAATTAACATACCAAGTAGAACATAAAAAACCAACCAAACTTCAGTGCACTATCCGTCCTGCATATCAGAGACAACCATGAGTAATAACCATTGTGCACAATCAGTTGTTCATTTTAGTTCAGATTATTTTAGAGAAATAATCACTTTTTCAATACCAGCTTTTAGGGAGGGTTTTCAAAACTAAAATATGATGTCTCTCTTGCCCGAACAAAATAGAGAATCCGTACTACACCTAAACCCTTTTGTGCTCATGTGGTGTTGAAATGTTTGTCAAGATGAGGACTAAGAAGGAACAACACAACTTACCTCATGGCCCGATAGAGGGGCCTGTACCAAAGAACATATGAAAGGGGAACACCAAGTAGGGCATATATCACAGCAAGGAAAAAAATTTTGACACCTGTACATTGTAAGCTTCACATTAAGGTCCAAATCACATCAATAAACTAGATAGTTGTAAATACCCCAAGTTTAGAAGAATGAGCTCACCGCCTCCTCGAATCCAACATACAGTTACAGCAACTACATTAAAAACTAGGCAGAGAACAATTCCTGGAAAGATACCACACCATAAATGAAAAAAAAAAATTAGATACATATAAGTATATAAAAGGAGAAGAGGACATGAGAAAACAGAAAAGAAGCCCTACATGGGCGTTTGAGTGTGTGAGGCTAAAAGAGGTGCATAGTTAGGTACCCCATGAAACAAAACAATGAAACATCCTTATTTGTAATTGAATAGCTACAACAAAAAATTATTCCTTTATCGTTGCATTTGGATAAGCTATTTTGTAATCTTGAGGAAATTCAAATACTCTGAATTTGAATTCTTTTCATTTTAAATAATTTAGTTTTTCAAATAATTTGTTAGGATGAAGCAATTCAATTTATTGAATTTTAATTTTATTGTTTGGATAAAGTATTTCAATTATTACCAAATATAAAAATTATGATTACTAGATTTAAAAATTAATTATTCACATGGATCAAGTTAGACGGAGACAAATTTTGACAGGCTAAATCAAATCAAGTCAAATTAGGACAAACCAAACTAGTAAGATCGGGTATAATCAATACATATTGGATTAGGCTAACAGGTTAGGAAGGGTCAGGTCGTGACGGATTGGAATGAGTCAATTTGAATTAGGATAAATCAAACCATATCTGATCAAGTTGGGTCAATATTGGTTGGGTCAAGTTGAAACCGAATAATATAAACCAATATGAGATGGGTTGAGCTAAACCAATACAAGATATGTCAAGTCAAATCAAGATGAATTGAGTTAGACCAAATGATTCAATTTGGAATGGGTGGGATCGAGGTGGATCAGTTCTACCTTGAATAGTTTGGTTGAATCTCATAAAAAAAAATTGGATTTGGTTAGTTCAAGTCAAGTCAATATGAGTTGAACCGAATCATGGTGGATTAGGTTAGACCGATATATGATGCACGAGATCAAGACCAATTAGGTCGGGATGGTTAGAATATAGTCAAAACATGTCAGGTTGATTCAAACTAAGTCAATATGAGTCAGATCAATCTAGGTCATGCTTATCTGGGTCCAGCTAGATCGACTTATATTAGGTTAAGATGAGACATATATATAAAGACAAAATACATAAATTATTTCTCAAATTCTTACTTTTTAGGTGGAATTTGAAACTCTCTTATCTTAAATAACCAAAATACATTCATCAATTCCTAGAATTTTAATTTTCAAATTCTTTATACAAACAACCAATTTTTTCATCATACATTTCAAATACTCTATTAAAATGAATTACCTTCTATAAATTCCCTATCACAAGGTAAAACTTTAACAAAACACAAACTCATAAATCCATTGAGGAATTGGTGAACAACAAAAAGATGGGGACCATGGAAGTGATGCCCAAAGTTACTATAAATTATTCAACTCTAAAAGAGGGCTAGAAAAAACATAAATATCTTTTTCACTTGGATGATATGATAGAAGTAGTATCTTCTAATAGTCCCAGCAAAAAACGTTTAGAGCACTTATGCTTCCATGATTGAATTATATGCATTAACACGTAGCTTGCAATGATTGAAAGGGAAAAGGAAAGTGTAAATGTACCACAATAAAACATTATTGTAAATGTGTCAAAAGGAAAATAGAAAGGATGTTCAAAGTTCAAATATAACCAGGTACAAAGAGATTCCAAAAAATGATAAATATTACAAAATCTATGCAGAACACGTGATTATAAACTGCATTAGCATTTACTAGGAAGGAACTAGAATCAAAATAAACAAGGAACACCTGAATTTTTAAGGATTAGATAGGAAAGATATAAACAAGGAACACATTAAAAAATTATTAATGAGACTCCAAATGATTGCGATACAAAACACCTACCTATCAACTCTATTTCTATTAAGAATATGTTTGGAGTGATGGAAAGTAATAGAGTGCAGAGGAGTAAAATAAAACATGATGTTGTAGTTCATTCCGTCCAATGTCTATTTTTCATCCCCTCTAATTTGGGGATGTGGGAAAGAACCTTTTTTTTTTCCGCTTTTTCATCCCATTCACATACCAACTGATTCAATTATAAAATATCAAATTAACAATAAAGAAATTTTGAATGTAGTCAAACTCATGATTTAGATTGAAGAATTGCATGATTAAACAATTTCATAGTACCCTGAATCCTGGTTTCGTGAAGAATTCAAATTTCGCAACATTGTTTTAATCAACACAAAAACTAAAATTGCAAAAATGTAGGAACGAAAAATATTTTACAAGTTGGTTTTCAGGGGTCGGGTTCTCAACTTAATAAGGAAAAAAAATCAGATTCTGTGACCCTCTCCTGAAGTATAATCTTGAATTTAACTAAGTTGATAATTTTATTTCATTCTATACTATCGATCATTAGATAATCCAAATATAGTCCAATGTTATGATTATGGGAAAAAAAAACACTTATATTTGGCTGAACTACCACCAGTTATTCAATAATAACTAAAAAAGCAACTTGTAATGCATAAATAGATAATATGTAAGCAATCATACCTAACCAACTTGCAAATGCCAAATACTGTAGCCTCTGAGCATGAACCGGTATCTCATTGGCAATATCATGGTGAATGATTGGGAAAAGTGGAGGCCAATTCTTATCGTCAAGAGGAACACCAGCTGATAAGCACATTTATTTTTGAAACAAGAAAAATATGTTATCGACTCAGCATAAATATAGAGATAATTGAATGGCCAGCATTGTGGGGTTTTTACATTCACCTCTAGCAACAGCCTCCTCTCTTTTTTTAATTTCCTACAGATGCATTTTTAAAGAGTCACAAAATCAACAAAAAGTAAAGGATAAAATTAATAGAGGCAGAAGCAAGACTAACACATTCAATCAGTTAATAGAATATAAGCATATCACCGATTATAATGACATTAACATAAAAAATAAAATAAAAATTGCTTAAATTGTAAAATCTACCTTCTCTCTCCGTTTTAAATCTGCTTCCCAAGCTGCTAGCTCTTGACCTTTTTTCTTGGAGTCCTTTGAAAAAATCATGGAAAATAAAATCAGCCCATCAAAAGAATCTTACAGTCTTAAGAGAAAGTCCTTGAATTAGCAATGACATTACATTTGTAGTATCCAAAGGAATATCAACCGTAGCATCATGTCTTTGACCATAGCCCAGCGGCTCAGATGCTAACGGTGGAATACGTGATTTTGATGCAGGAGCAACAGCACCATTCTGTAAGAACCAATAGAATGAAAAAAAAATCCGCATCATGACTTAAATTAAAAAATATAACATCAAATGCCAAGCCTTTCAAAACTAGCAAATTGAACTAGAGATGAAAATTATAATGTCCACGTTATTTCTTAGTAGTCATTAATATATATCTTGTACACACACATGCAGCTAAATTAACTCTGAACTCAAGCCCAAATCAAGCCATCAGTTAAATTCCGTTGTAAATTATAAACATTACATTCAGGCAATATAGCTATTGAAAGCAAACTCACCTAAAGATCACTCTGCTAACTAAATGAAGTGCAGAAACACCAAACCTTTAACACAACCACACTGTTTAGAGCAACATTTTGTTAAATATACAGATACAAAATGGAGATGTTATTAAACTTTTATTCATTTCAGATAACTGGAATTTGAATAGTAAAGAACATGCCCACATATAATTTGCTTCTACAATAGATTGGTCCGAGGGACTTCACAGTTTACAAAATATGATGTAAACATGACCTATGACAAGGATTAGAGCAAGGGAAAGGAAACTCTTCAATAAGTATTGTTAGTTAACTAATTGTGTTTTGGATTAATCAATTAATGGGCTTTAGTTTAGTTTTATTGCAAGTTGTAATAAAGTGCATAGCTGATTGACTTTTGGTTGTCACAATTTCAGTTACAATTAGTCATTAAATAATATCAATTCCTAGGTTAATGGATCATTATTAGCCTTTATTTGTCTCTATTAAGTAATTTTCAATTCTTAGGTTAATGAATCATTATTCGAATTTATTTTCCTTTATTGAATCTTTGTAATTCTGATGATAAAATTTTTATATAGGCTGAACCATATTTTTATCAGATATAACAAGTTGAATTTTATTTAAAAATATTAGAATTTAGCTCTTTTATCTTGGTGAGAATGATTCTCCTAAATTCGAGAATGATTCAAGAACACATCCTTTGTGAGGCATGACTCATGTGGTCTTTCCTCCTAAATTTTCCTAAAGATCCTAAATCATCCTTGTGTTATTGAGATTCATACCAGAATATGTGTTTAACGCAGCAGCTGAAGCATAGACAAATTCTACCAAGTGTAATTCTTCATTTGCCTTCAGCAAACCCAACACCTCTATACTATGCTTATCCTAATAGACTAGCACACGGAGTAACTTAAGCTGCTCAGTTGTACACACGACTGAGCAAAGAAAAGAGAACTATGCAGCATCCATCATTTCAAACAGCGAAACCACTTGCCTAATTCCAATTAACTCACCCTTTCCAATTTCGACCAGACGTTGGGCCACAACAAAGAATAAAAACACCGTACTGAAGCTCACAGCTAAGCATCGAATAACCATTTCATCCATCGCGCATTTTCGTCGTAGATTAACTCAATTGAGCAGGTCAGAAAACACCGTAACCGAAACGCAAACCGACAAAACTTCCAGATCCAAGTCCTCCACAAACATCCACTCTAAGTCCCGCACCGATTTCTCATGTCGGTGCGATTCAGCACACACGCTATGATTCAGAACGCACACTATGATTCAGCACACGCTCTTTCTTAATTAACTGGGTACGCAGCCAAACAAAAGAAAAACGAAAGGAAAACATAGCGACGCACAACGACAGATCCAGATCAAACAACGAGTCACCTAAGCAATTTTATATTTATACTAACATCGGTGGAACGGAAATTTAGGGCTAAAAAACTGCTGGATCTGAGTGAAAAATCTTGTAAACAACTAAATATAGACATGGAAAGAGAGTGAGGAGATTAAATTACCGAGAAAGGATTGACTTCTTCTTCGTCGAACGGATTGGGATCGTGCTGGCGATTCATGGCGAGAAGTTAGTTAGATCCGCGAAAATGTGCGAACAAGATACGTTGAGTTGAGATGATAACAGGTGCGTGAGGGAGTGAGACAATGGTAGTGCGTGCGGCGAGAGACCGCACTTTTTTCGCTTTTCTAGCTAACTGGCTTAATGGCAACGCGGGATATAGTTTTGGAATTTGGAGAAAAAGTAACTGAACTTGAATTTGTACTCTTTGCCTCTTAATTGCTTCATATTTACGACTCGTGCCATTGCGTCGGTATGCGGCAGCTTTCAGTGAGGTGCGCGAAGTGGGAACCTTAACAGAGTTCACGTGATTCCCACGTGCAGGTTTATGGTGTGGGGAATATTGGTTGGAGAATTCAGGTATGGAGTACGGTAACAGGTGGAGGCTATGTAAGTGGATTAGTGCTGGTGCAAACGGTGACTTCGTACTAACGTAATAATAACATTATCACTTTCTTTTATAAAATTTTGAAAATTTGGTCGCAACCGACTTCGTGGGGGACAGGTAATTCACGGCACCACACAAACCAGGTTAATGTTTGAAAAGAAGGAAAGGCAAATTAACAAATTTGAAATTTGAACCACCAAGGTATATTTAAATTTTGAAATTTACACCATTTGCTTACTGAATTTTTTTTTTCGTGACATAAAACTGCTTTTCTTACATCATTTCGAACAACTTTTTGTTTGTTTATACTTACCAAATAAAAAATTAATTACATGACATCATATGAATCAACAAAAATTACATACATATCTCTTATGTGACTACTCTTTGTTCAATTTCTACGAATTGAAAACTATGTCAGCGGGGTCAAATCAAAGCGTTTCCACATACATGTTCAGTTATGTAATGAGTGGCAAAAACCACTCCAAACAAGGGTAAAAAATAAATAAATAAAATATATCTATATATGTATATATATGTGTGTGCGGTAAATAGATACTTCACTCTGAAGATGAGAACGTGTTTGGATTGCCACCACTACATCGAACTGGACACACAAGAAGAAGAGATAACTTACAAAAATTTAACCAAACTAAATATGTCTTATCACCCAGTAATTATTTCACAATATTTCAATTAATGAAAAAAAACTTATTTGTTAAATGAAAAAATATATAATAAATAAAAAAGTAGAGCACGTATTATATTTGTTTGTTGATAATGCATCGTACAGTAAAATAAAATTTTGTTTTTTATTACTAATAAATAAAAATCAATTCAACAAACTATTTTAGTTTTTTTTTTCTCCTTTCTTATTTGGATGATATATTTTTGTGTGAGTCAATTTCCTTCACCTTAAATGATCCAACGTATTAGTATTATGTACTAGAGACTTATTACATATTTCTTATAATTGGACATTTCACTGTATCAATAAAAATATATGAATTCAAAAAGCTGCAAAAGTTTAATTAGTTTATTAGGGTAATATTTTTTTATTTTTAGTAATGTAACTAGACAATGAATTTATTAATATTATAAGTATCTTAAAAATATATAATTGTAATCAATATTATCATATTGAGTGTATTTTATGTACACTGTATGTAGCGTCAAAAATAAGTTTGTTTCGGAACTATTCACAAAATTGATAAAATAGGAAAAACAAATGATCATATATGTGCTCACATTTCCAAATGTTTATATATATATATATATATATAAGACTATATTATAAAATAATAATATATTTTTTAATCATTATTTTTTCTCCAACCAACACAATACATTACATAATATAATAAATTTTTGTTTGAATTTTACAAAAAAAATTAATTTTGTAGTTTTAAAAAAAAATTGTTATTGTTGCATGATATGTCGTTATATCCCACTTTAATGACGTGTGTCGCTCGCGTTAAGTATTTGTGACTTTATCCTTTATGTATTTCATTTTAGGGTTGGAATATTTTTTATGTGTCTAACAAAACACTCACACACTCAAGTTAATCACATTAATAACTAGATGAAAATTAATATATAAACAGTGTTTATAGTCAATTTATAATTTTTTTTATTGGTCTCTTTTGTTTTTACCTTTTTACTTTTTAATTGTGTAGCTATAATGTACATGTTAATCAGGGTCTACAATACCACATGGAATGATAATATATCCATAATACATTTATTAAGTAATTATTTTATTAAAATAACTTATGAAAATGGTTTGAATTAAAAGATCAATTGATAATAACTTGTTCGTATAGAAAACACTTGAAATTAGTTTATTGATGTTGTGATTCAACTTTTTCATGTTTTTATGATTAAGGTGATTAATTAGTATGTTACGTCTCAAATTTTTTTCTTTTATTTTCAAAATTATTCATATTATTAATAAACTATAAATGAAAAAGTTTTTTTTTTTATAAATTAATTATAATTTTATTACAATATGTATTTAATAATTTATGCATATTAATCTATTAGATATTAACTTTTCTAGTGTTAGTAGTACTTAATTATATGTTAAATTTGTTTTTTAGTATAAATAAAATTATTAAAATTCACAGTAAGTGTCATTTTTACTATGAAGTCATTTATTTATAAATAATTTTTTAAAAATTATTATATTTTAATTAAATTCTAAAGAAAATATTTTTTAAATCTCACCATAAAATTTTTGTTATAATTTTTCGTAAGACTTAAATATATGTTTAGTGAAAACTAGATGTATATTTTTGTTTGTTGTTTTTATTTATTTTATGTTTCATTTTGTCATGTAACTTATCACGGTCATTGTTTTTTTTGTTTTTTTCTCTTATAAATCCAGTTCCAACTGAAAGAACAAACTAATGCTTACTTACTTCATTATATTTTTATTTTTTAAAAATAATTAAGATTTGTTTTAAGTTCTATTTTAAAAAAATATTAATTTTGTCATCAGTTTTTTATAGACGACAAATTACCTCACCATTCACCAAAACACTTCAAAATTTGGTGTCTTATTCTCACTTCATTAGAATTCATAAGCATTGTCTTGCAAAATAGCTGAATCTTTCTTTAAAAGAATTAGGAATGTCATAACTCCATTTTAAAAAGTTTCAATTAATTAATTAATTTAAATATTTTTACATTTTCTTATACCAATAATTTGTATGTATAATATCTATAATTTATGATAATATAAAAAAATAATTATTTTGGTGTCATTATTTTTTTTCTTCCAATTTCCTTCTGTTCTCTCTTAAAATAGAAATAAAAATAAAAATTATTTTCATTTTTTCAATTATACAATGAAACTTGTAAGTCATAAGTACATTGATTTTATAAAATGTAGGACCAAATATATAAAAAAATAATTTCAAACATAATTTTTGAGAAAATATATAAGAAAAGCATTTATTTATTTAAAGTTTTAGTAGTAAGAGGGTCTTAAGTTTGATAATAAACTTCAAACTGGCTACTGTTCAGCCATTTTTATTTTTAATTCTTTAGATTTTTATTAAACATTTTTTTGAACACTTAAAAATGAAAGAATATAACAATTTTTTTAGGTTCAAATTATTTTTTACACACATTTATTCTAGTTATAAAAATTACATTGCGACAAGTTTTAAAAGTATATATATATAAATTGATTTTAATTTATGAAGATATTTTTATTTATTTTAAAATTATTTGTACAAAACACTTTTTTTTTTACTTCTATTTACATATTAAAGAAAATTAAAAATTATAAATAAATATTATTTTAATAATTTATTATTATTTTAATAAATATTTTATCATTTTTATATATTATTTATTAATTTAAAGTCAGGTAGGTTTTGAAAGAACAAATTATCACACAAAATATTTTTTAAGATGATGATTAAAATATATTTTAAACACTTGTTGCATTATCTACTGAAATTTATTAAAATTATACCATCAAAATATATAATATTTTTAACCAGTAATAAAAAAAATGTTTAAAATAGTACGTGAATATAACTAAAATTTCTTCCCTTTGATATTATCTCCCTATATATCACACGTTTTCTTACAAATATGTTTTCTGATATTTTTCTAGATAATATACTTTTATGAATAAAACACTAAAATTATATAATGTTTGTCGATCGATTATAAAATAATATATATATATATATATATATATATATATATATATATTTTGATATTTATTTAAAAATAAATATTACGAAAAATATATGATTATTAAAGTGGAGGAAATTTTCTAATTATTTTTTTTTTGAGAAAAATATAAAATAAATAATTTATTAAATAATGATAAAAAATGTTTAAAGAATATATTTTTCTTTTATATATTATTAGAGATTTAAAATATAAATATTTATTCCTAAAATTATATATTATTGAAGACCAACAAACATAAGATACAATTAAAAAAAAGTGGGAAAAGGTGAAAGGACATATACTAGAATAATAAGGAAAAAATGTGACATTTTTTATTATTTTTATTTATTAATTTATATGTAAGAAACACATCAAGAGAAAGATATAATTAAAAAATAAAAAATAAATATAAATTTTAATACTTTTTTTTTATTTGAGAAAAAATAAATTTTCGAAGAGGTATTCTGATGGAAAAAATATATTAAATGATAAAATAATATTTAAAAAGTGTTTCATATATTGTCATAGATGTTATGATATATTATTATTATTATTATTATTATTATTATTTCTTATTTTATTTTTTCCTAAAATCTGAATTTCTGCCTTTGTTTTATTAAAATCCCAACCTCAGCTTGTTACCTAACCTATTCTACCTTAATGTTCATTAATATAAAAATTTGTTGTAAATAAGAAAACTGTTAACAAGATAATTAAGTTATTGTATTAGCAAAAAAATATTTTTTATTTTATTTTTAAAAACAATTTTAAAGATCTATTACTGTTTTTAAAACAATTTTAGAAAATCAACCTCGTAACAATAGTTTGAATATTATTAATAACAATAGAAAATTTAAATAAAAATGATTTTATTAATTTTTTTTAAAATTAACTAACTATTTATAAACTTTTGTTGTGTTTTAAAATTTATCTTTTGACACAATATTCAAAATTTAAATTTTAAATGAAATTTTATTTGTCTATTTTTTTATGAAACAAATCAATTTTTCTTTTATTATTGTGTTTAATGGGTTGAAGATTTTGTTTTTCTTAAACAAATTTTATTTTCTTTACACAATTTTGTATACAATCAAATACTTAAAACTCATAATAACTTTTAATTTTTTAATAAATAATCATCTAACAAAATAACAAGATTAGAACCAGCACATGAATTTAATATACTCCAAAAAATATATTTTTTATATAATTTAGAGATAATTACTTTAAATTACCATAATATCAATCTTAACAACCTACAAAGTCAAACGTCAAAACCCTAAAAATTATAAATCTCCGCGCTTGCAGTTTAAGCAGTTTTTGGCACTGGTTTCTGCTATTTCGCGGCGTTGTTAACTTCCCTTCTGCCACTGCCTTCCACAATCTCCAAACATGGGTCGGAAGCACGACGCCGTTTTGATAAGCGAACCAGTCGCCGACGAAGCCCCCGAGCTCGATTGCGAGAAGAGGAAGAAGAAAAAGAAGAATAAGAACAAAGACAAGCAGCACCAAAACGAAAGCAGCCCCAAACGAAAACTCGACGAACTCCACCCTGAAAACGGTAACGAATCGAAGAAGAAGAAAAAGAATAAGCATCACGATTCCAAAGAGAACGCCGAGGAAACCAACGGTGAGAAAAACAACGACAACGGCGCTAATGGCGATGAAACGGTGAAGAACGGGTCTGTGGTGGTTACCGGCAAAAATGCGGCAGACGCGAAGTACGCGGAGGTGAAAACGTTTTCGGATTCCGGGCTGCCGGATAATGTGCTGGCGTGCTGCAAGGGTTTCGAGAAGCCTTCTCCTATTCAGTCGCGGGCGTGGCCTTTCTTATTGGACGGTCGTGATTTGATTGGAATCGCTGCCACTGGATCAGGTGCGTTATTGTTCTTGTGTGTATATGTGTATTTCGTGTGACTTTAAATTGTTTCTGAATTTTGTGGTATTACTTTCAGGGAAAACGTTGGCGTTCGGGATACCAGCGGTTATGCATGTTTTGGGAAAGCGAAAGGGTAAAGGTTCCAAGGGGCGAAATCCTCTTTGCCTCGTGCTCTCTCCTACTAGAGAACTAGCACAACAAGTATGTGTTTATTAAAACACAATGAAGTATCAATATATTGAATTTGAATTTATACTTCATTTTTTTAATCATCATGTTTGTTTTGTACTTCTCAGTTGAAAATTGAAAGTAGAATCCTATATGACTTCCCTTGATTTTTAGAATTATCTATTTCAAATAATGGATGAGAGGATTTGATCTTTCTCTCAAGTTACTGAAAATAAAGGTTTAATTGGATTCGAAATTCAAATTAAAGGGTTGTGTAGTGTGAATGATATAGTTGCGTCTTGCTAGCTGCCTTATTGTTTGAGATGTATACTTGAACACGAGGAAGATGTGTGACTGTCAACTCATCATCCGGCTGCTATTGATTAATTAACTTGTGTGATATGTTAAATATTGGTGTCACGTGACACTGTTATAGCTAATATATCTCTCTCCATCAGAGCACTGTGTCTATAACAGGAAATTGATTGATGCTATTTATTTGGAATGATATTATGGTCCCACTGTTATGTGAGTTTTGCGATTTTACTCGTCGTACCTTGTCACATCAACACAATGTTGCTTTTTCTCCCTTTATAAAAATATTTACAGTGACATTATCTTACTTCTCCAGAACCTGAGTATTGGATAATATTACTGATTTACCAAATTATAATATCTAATAGTTTGGTTAATTGTTTTGTAGATATCAGATGTCATGTGTAACGCTGGTAGTTCTTGTGGTGTGGAATCGATCTGTTTGTATGGAGGAACTTCCAAAGGGCCACAAATCTCCTCACTAAAATCTGGCATTGTAAGTTAGCAAAAGCCAGTTAAATTTACATGCTTGTTCGCTTCCATGATGAGTGGTTTATTTTTTTCTTTTCATTTTTTTATAAACATCATATGGATATTTTAATACCACTTTTTCCATCCAGGACATTGTCATTGGAACTCCTGGTCGTATCCAGGATCTAATTGAAATGGGTGTCTGTTGCCTCAAAGAAGTATCTTTTGTGGTAAGCTGTAAATTGTCAAGCAGAATTCTTTCGTTAGCTTCTCTTATTTTTTAATACAATTGTTATACCATGTAAACAAGTTGTTTGTTATAGGAATTTTATCTTTTATTTACTAGATTCATTTGGTGGGAAAGTCAGTTTGAGTATCTTTCTTTTACATATGCTAAAACTCCAATGTTGGAATTTGCTGGATTTTGAATTAACATACAATCTGCTTCTAGGCTGAATTTTCTTCAGCTTTAAATTGAATATGAACTAGAAGTAGATGATTGTTTATAAACCAACATAGACTGAGCCTTTTGCTAACATCATTTTTTTTTGTTCTAGGTACTTGATGAAGCGGATAGGATGCTTGACATGGGATTTGAACAAATAGTTCGCTCTATACTGGGTCAGACATGTTCTGGTATGATGCATTTTTATCAACTGTTGCATCTATATCTGGTGATTAATTCATTCCTTTTAATATCTCGACTAGTGTTTTTTAATGTTTGGCTTCGATTTGTCAAAACTGAACTATACAACTGATTCTCCAATGAGCTTACTTAGATATTTTGTTTACAAAAGTTTTTCCAGCTTATTTTTGTTTCATTAAAAGGAATGTACTTGTCTGCAGATCGTCAAATGGTCATGTTCAGTGCTACATGGCCTTTGGCAGTTCATCACTTGGCTCAGGAGTTTATGGATCCTAATCCAATAAAAGTCTGTATCTTATTTTTCAAAAAAGATTTCAACTATTCTTTTTATACATGTTTTTGGAGGAAGAAATGCTTAAACTTGTGACAGGTTGTTGTAGGTTCAGAAGACTTAGCTGCCAATCACGATGTCATGCAGATAGTTGAGGTGTGAATTTTATCAAATCTATATTACTAATACATATTTACACTTTAGTTAATATTAATTCATTTTACATTCATAGGTCTTGGATGACCGTTCTCGTGATAGGCGCCTAGTTGCTTTACTGGAAAAGTACCACAAATCTCAGAGGTATCTTCTGCAATTTGTTTATTACGTGTTTTGTTTTGCGACCTGTTGCTAAGAGCTTGTGTCCTTTTTCTCAGCAATCGAGTATTGGTCTTTGTTTTATACAAAAATGAAACCAAACGAGTTGAAAATATGCTTCAAGAAGGGTATGTCACATCACACCTTTTAATAATTTTCTGGTGAAAATTATAATAGCTACTGAGGCTGTTAAATACCATCTTCAGGGGTTGGAAGGTTGTATCAATACATGGGGACAAAGCTCAACATGATCGCACAAAGGCACTCTCATTGTTCAAGAAGGGAACCTGTCCTTTGATGGTAACCTGTTTTATACTGTTATTAATTTTAATTTATATCAGTTTGACAACTCAAGTTAAAAGAAATTTATGAATTGGCATCAATGCTTGACTTTTTTTTCCACGATACTGTGGGTATATTGGAGAATGGTCGTGTCTTCTCATCATTTTGCAATTATATTTTTGCAATGCGTTTTTATGCAGTTGCTATCTCTGGAAAATGTTTTTATCCAAATTCTTCTGGATTTGTTTCTTATCCCTTTCAAGGCCCTAGTTTTAATATTTTTACAGTACTAACTTGTAGATGAATTTAAACCCGCTTTTTAATCCCCCTTAGTCCTCAACGAAAATTGTTCAGATTAGCCAAGAAATTATTAGGTCAATATATTTTAAAACTTCAATATCATTGTAAAGGCTACTGCAAATGATGAGAAGTACAGTACGATAATTTGAACGGAACTAGCTTTATGTCTATTGAGCCGGACATGATCTTTAAAACATTCGCTGCATTTTCTGTTACGTTATACAGCCAATTATTTGACATAATTCAATAAACAGATTGCTACTGATGTGGCTGCGCGGGGATTGGATATTCCAGATGTTGAAGTAGTGATAAACTATAGTTTTCCTCTAACTACAGAAGATTATGTTCATAGAATTGGGCGGACTGGACGAGCTGGTAAGAAAGGCGTTGCCCATACATTCTTCACACAGCAGAATAAGGTAGAAGCAACTCTATAGTTGGTATATGTCTATCATGGGTTATGGTTTTAATTGGTGATTTTATGTCTTTTCACCTTTGTATCGACTAAGAATGGAAATATTTCAGGGACTTGCTGGGGAGCTGGTGAATGTTTTAAGGGAAGCAGGGCAAGTTGTACCCGATGCCCTCCTGAAATTTGGCACACATGTAAAGAAAAAGGTTCTCTTTTCTTCTCCATTTCTGCCTATGCACCAATTCAGATTTTTTCCATGATGAAGCTATAGGATAAACATTTTTTTTTTCTGGCAATCCTTTAACTTTTGTCTGGTGTGAAACATTTGATTTTGGTTGATTGTTAGATTTAAAATTTTCAATTCTTGTATAGGAGTCCAAGCTTTACGGGGCGCACTTCAAGGAAATCCCTGTTGATGCCCCAAAGTCTCAAAAGAAAACATTTGACGACTCTGACGATGAAGACTAATTGCTGGTGACTTGTGTTTATCTTTGGCTGAAGGAATATGTGAAGTCTGTCATTTCTTACTCTTTTTATTCCATAGTTATTTATTACTTTTAAAAAGTAATAAAAAAGGTTATTATGAATAGATTAGTCAGTTTTTTTTCTGTTGTAGCATAAGTGCTTTAAAATTCGTTAAAATTCACATATTTTTAGCTGTCTAGGATTCTCTTTTACTTTTCGAAGTTTTACACTTTGGAGTTTTAATTAATTAATTTACTATCTTATTATGGTCGTTTCTCGCCCTTAAATTTTTATTTCCCCGCTTGTTGCACCAATTCATTATGCTGTTCAACATGCTTTACATATTATTATTATCCGACCACCTATTGCACTTAGTGGCGTCAGTTCCGCGGGAACGTGAGTAGATAATTTCTACTCAAAAGGATATTCAAGCATAAGCTCCAATTCGGTACAAAATCATGGATAATTTCTCTTTTCTGCACCTGCTGAACCATTTCTACCGGTGTGAGCAACAGATTTTTTTTTAATATAATTCTTTTTTGATAAAATTATTTACAAGTTACAAAATTATGAGTGGGATTTATTAATTTTTTAATTACATTGCCTTAAAATTTTTATGAATTAAAACTCACGTTAACTTGTATAATTAATATGGGAGTGAAATAAAATCTATAAAGTTCTTTGTTGAATAGTTATGGTATAGATGTTAATCTGAAGTTAACGTGAAAAGATTGATTCAAAATTTTAAGTTTATTTTATTATTATTATTTTTATTTATGTAATTTTGTACTTTCTCCACTCTAAGTCCTTGTTTGCCTCCACGGATGTACGGGAGTCAAGGAAAGGAGGGAGGGTGCTGATTGTATATGTTAATTTGGAGGAAATGATGTATGGTAGTCAATAGGGAAATGAGGGAGGGTGCAGCGGTTTGTATCTACTCATTTGGAGGAAATTATATATGATAGTCAAGAAACGAGGGAGGGGATTTAAGGAAGGGAGGGAGGGTGCAGTTGTTTGCATTTGATTTGGAGGAAATGATGTATGGTAGTCAAGAAACGAGGGAGGAGATTTGAGGGAGGGTGTAATTGTTTGAATTTGTTGATTTGAGCATATTTAAGAGGAAATGATGTATGGAAGTCAAGGAAAAGAGGGAGGGGATTTGAGGGAGGGTACAACTGTTTGCATATGTTGATTTGAGGATATTTAAGTGGAAATTATGTACGGTAGTCAAGGCAACAAGGGAGGGTGCGGCTGTTTGTATCTTTGCTGATTTCTAATTTGAGAGGAATGTTTCAAGGTATCCACCTTTTTTTAGGTGAAGAAATGCATTCTATAAAATCTATGTTCTGAAACAATGTGACAAAGACCAAAGTTGTACTTGAAAAGTGACAAAGACCAAAGTTGTGTTTGAAGTTGCAGTTTTTATCCTTCAGGAAGGAAAACTATTAAGTGTAATACTGGTTAAATAATTATTGATTTGTGTTGGAATATATGATTGTAAATATAAATATGAATATCTTGCATGTACGGTGGTTGAGTACAGTACTAAGGAATGAGAGGACTATGTGGACCATGTTCGATTATGTAACAAGGCATCATCGAAAATTTTTTTGTTCTTTCATTTAGATATATGAATAAATTTTATTTTGATATTTTATTTATTGTTTATAGTAGGACATTAATGAGAGAAAAGTTTTTTTTTTAATAAAATTTATTTTAAGTATAATTTTTTATTTAGAACATATAAAATTAATACAATAATAATTTATTAACCAAAATTTTATTATTATCATTATCCATAATATGATATAATTAATTAAAATAAAATATTTTTGGGTATAAGTAGGGTTTGAATTATGTCTTCATGAAAAGGCAATGGACAAAAAGGGTCACAAAGTAGAGGAGTTTGCGTCAATTCTTCCTCCTATCTTATTGTCTCGTTTCCCTATTTAGACTAAGTAGGAGGAAAAAGGTAGTAGAAGTGGAGTAAAAGGTAATGACCTTCAACTTTTTTGTAATGAATGGGTTCGAATTCCTATATCACGTTTCTTTTCAACGATTAGATAGATTTTTAACTTCAACGGGTAGTATTTATGAAGACCTGATAAAGATTTTTTACACAAATTTAAAATTGATTGACTCAGAGAATCTAGATCTTTTATACAAATTTAAAATTAATTGACTCGGAAGGTTTAATCACTAAGATCTTACAAACAATCAAACTTGATGATTGGTTAAATGTGACCCATTTAAAAGATCAGGGTCACTAGACATCCCTGACGACTTGGGATGTGATAGGGATGAGGCACTGACGGCGATGGTTAAATCAGAACTACAAGTTTGGACTTGTAGGAATATTGGCAGTTTGACTGTTGAGGATAAAATTCTCCATTATGTCTTTGTTCATATGCTTAGTTCTGGATGAGACAATTATACTTAAGTGTTACAAGATGATATATTTATCATTTGGTGTATAAAAAATCACATTCCGATTAATTGACCTTATTATATCATTAGACATATGAGGAAATGTAAATCTAATCAAATTTATCAGCCTTATGGTATTTAATCACTCATATTTTACTGCATTGTGGTTTGGACTTGATTTTATAATCAAGTCACTCCTTCATACTAATAATGAGATTTAACGAGATATCTTAACAAAAGTTGAATATAATAAATGTTGATGGGTCAACATGTCCAACAACCTAACCTTGAGCACGATCACCCCTCTAGTGAAGATGAAGATGTGTCAGTTCAATATGAACAAGCAAAAACACAAATTCAAGGAGAACAAATATATCCTTCTCCTTAACAAGCTGATAACATAAACTTAATATGAGGAGATATTCAAAATATGCATGTAGACTTGAAGTGAATGTTCAGAATAATGATCAGAGTCTACAACGAGGAATTAATTATGTGCATTACAAAATTGATCAATCATATTTGTTCATATTGAAGACCAAATTGATCAGTTTCACGAGAGTCTTAAATAAACGTCTCATTCATATTATTTAAGTTTTTTTGGTTGAGTAGACGTCTCATTCATATTTTTTTAAGTCTTTTTTTTTTCTAATTTGGATGAGTGTATTTTTTTTTATATTTGGACTATGTAATTTATATTTTAGAGAACTGAAATGATTAATTGAATAATAATATGTTTTATAATTATAATTTTATTAATTATGAATATAATTTTTCATTTAGTTAAAATTTGAATAATTTTGTAAATGTTATATGTACGTTTTATGTTAATTTTTGTAAAATTTAAATATTATACGTTATGTGAAATCAAATTTTCACCTATTTAAAAATTTTAACAGAGTCAATAAAATCTAACAATTTAAGCCTAACAAATTAAATATTATATTTAATATAAAATAAAGAATTAGGAAAATATACTACAAGTTATAAATTATTATTAAAGTAATATAATATTTTTAAAATATAAAAAATTTTAAATATATAATTTAAACTAGAACGAAAAATATTTTATAGTTAATATATAAAATAATTTTAATTATAGTTTATATATAACATAATATTAATATATTTATATCATAATTATTATTTCTATTTGATTCATTCCAATAATAAAAATATTTTAATCATTATATTAAAAAAAACTATTATTTAACTTTTTTATATTTATTTTTATCAATCACAATTTATTTTAAATTATTTTAAATCCAATGTCTCACGTCCTCACCTCAATCCAAAGGTAAGAGAATGAAAAAAAGTTTCACCTCTACAAAATTAATATATAAAATAAAAATTTATTTAACACGTGGATAATTAAGAAGTATTAATTAATTTTTTATTCACATAGAAAAATGTAAAATAATAAGTATTCAAAATAAAATAAAATAGAAAAGCTAATAAAATAAAAAATATTTTTATTTTTTCTATAAATTAATTAATTACTTTTATATAAATTATAATATTTATTTAATTTGTTTTTTTTAATTATATTAACTTTAGTATAAAATATATATTTATTAAATTTAAAATAAAGTCAATAAGCTTTTTATCCAACATTTATCCTATTATTATTTTATATATATTAGTATTATTTCCTTTTTATATTTTCTTTAATTAACTCAAATAATATTATATTTAGAAAACGGTATTATAATTCGCAAATAATATTTTACCTAAATAATCCATAAATTATAGTTAAAATGAGAAATCCAGGTAATTCACATATAATAGTTTATATAAATAATATATAAAAGATACTTTATTTAGATAATCAATGAGAATAATAATATTATCAGTTAACTTATATAAGATATTTTATCAGAATGTTTTCACTGAATAATCAATCGACAATCTTATTTAATTATATATATAATATATTTTTTTATAATTAAAATTTGAATTTATCTTTAAATTTTTGTGATTTATTTTTATTATGATAATATAAGTGAATAAAGTTCTTATATTATTTCATTTTTAATATAATATTTTGTTTACATTTCTTTGTTATTATATTATTTTATTTAAATTCTCCTGATTTTTTTTAAATATACGTAATTATGAGTATGTGAAAATTATAAGAGAGAAAATAAATAAATAGATTAATAAATAAAAATAATCAAGAGAAAAATTAAATAGATAAATTAATAAAAAACAATGAAGACTTTTAGCCTGACCAAATCAATAAAATAAATAGGGATGACGGGTAGGATAGACAAGAAGTAGATATTTATTGGTAGATTTTTTTTTCCTGTTATTTATTGAGTATTTATTTTAAAAAAGTTAACAAATTTTTTATATTTGAATATATAGATATTCATAAATATTTTAATTTTAAATAGTTATTTAAAAAAAATTATTTAAAATATACTGAAATAATTATTTTTATCTTAAAATATAATTGAAATACAATTTTACCATAAAATGTTAATATAAATCAATATTATCTTTCATATTTTAAATATATAAATATAAATTTGTAAAATTAAATACTAATTTTTTTAATTATTATTGATTTTATT